AACAACCCGGCCCTTTTCGGGCAAAAGTGACATTTTCCCATGTTTTCTTCAGGAAAACCCATGAATACATTATTAATAACATTTATTATAACGGAGAAACTCTCAACCAAATACAATGTGTGCTCACTTGCCTGGAAAATCTTCGCAAACCCTTCCGAAAGGCAAATTTTAGGTGAAAATGACCCATGAACTTTGACCTCAGGTCAAGGTCACTAAAGGTCAATGGAAAAAATGGCAACATCAATTTTCTTGTTCTCAGGACTCATAAGATTACATTTATAATGGTTGCCATAAATTAACATGACATGCCAACGGAAGTACATTGCCCCCCCCCCCCCCCCCCCCCCCCCCACTATACGATGGCTAGCGGGGCGGCCACTGCCCTTCACTTTCACTGAAGTTTGACGTGACGTGAACCTCCACCTACTCTCCGATGGTCGGTGCGTAGGGGGCCTACCTCTGCAGCAGACCGGTTTCTCAAGCTCTCAAGTTCAAAGGGGGAATCGTCCCACGGCGACGCTCAAGCCGGACCCAAATACTTATATTGTAATTAATAGAGCTGTGTCATACTTATGTTGTAATTAATAGAGCTGTGTCATACTTATATTGTACTAAATAGAGCTGTGTCATAATTACGTTGTTTGTAATGAGGCAATGTAACGCGAACACTAAAACATTCTGGGGACACAAACTGTGAACATAATTTTGGCCGGTAATCAAACAGATGTATATAATAATTTAATTTTGGTTTATTTCTTTCTCGTAATAAATGGTTTAATTTTGTGATTGATAAATCTTGTGTTGAGTCCTCTGTTCTTTTGAGTTATTCCTTGATTTTTGGTCTGAGTAGAGCGGCGCACTAGGGTCCGCTCTGCGACAATCGGCATTTGTATAGCTGCAAGCTGCGGGATAGCAGATCAACAAATCATCATGTCTCTCAGTCAGTCAGTCGGGGAGTCAGTCAGTCGGGGATATTACAGAGTTTTGATAGCCATAAAATTGGGGAATTGAAAAGATATGGTAATGAACCTCTTGCCCGGACATGGGGCTTCCAATTCTGAGCATTTTGGATGCTATTGGGCTCGATATCGAAAGTGGCGCTATTTTGCTTTGTTGCGGAGGGACTGTTTTTTTTTTCAAGCTTGGGGGAAAATAGGAGTCGTCTTCTTTGGCATGGGTGAGAATATCTCGAAAAGTCAATGGTCAACCAACCAAAAAATGAAAAGAAAATGAAAGATGACATGTTGATCATCATTTTCCTGTGAATACCTGTGAGAGTTTTGAGTATTTAAAAAAATAATTTTGAAGTATGCGCATTTTGCACTAGTGTCTATGGGAATTTTCTTGTAGGGTTGCACCCACAAGGGTGCAGTGAACTAATTCAAGTGAGAATTTCTACGCGAGCTGATTAGCATAAAAAGTGACCCCACAGTTTCTTTTGAAAACGGAGACCGTTTGGCTTAAAAAACGGTGGAATTGTGTTCAAGCTATGCGACATCAGACTCATTTTTGCAGAGCGGGTAACAGATAGCCAAGGATCAACTCCCTGGTTTTTGGGCTTCCATCTGAGGGCAGGCTTGATAAAATTACGGTTGAAAAATGAGTCCTATTTGCCTGAGAAAGTGGAAGGATGCCACTTGTAAAACGGCTACATGCAGGCTTGGGAACTATCACTTTTCGGGAGGTGATTTTGTTTTGGTGTGAATGTTTAAAAATGTAATCGGATAATCTACCCAAAATTGAAAAGAAATGAAAAGATGAAGTACAAGACAATAATTTAATTTTTGTTTGAGAAACCCCAGTGATGTCGGCTTGCATGTTATTTAGCCCTGAACTTTGTTGATTTTACACTGTTTTCAATGGGGCTTGAATTGGTTCAGTTATAAGAAGACTATAAAATCTAAAGGGCGCCGCCAATCTGTTATTTGCCATCCGATTTTTTTCCTATTGTCAATCAGTCTGAATCCTTGACTTCACCAATGGCATGATAACCATCGGAATATAGGGGACACGTCCAAGGGCTGAATATAAAGCGATGTTCCAGTCGCGTATTTGCATACGCTGTAAAATACAAATAAAACGAAGCTGAAGAAATCACCGTAAGCAGGCTTTGTTTTTGTTAAGTTTTACCATCGCATGTTATCATAGCATTGCGTTTTGTTTTTGCTTAATAATGGATAAGAGGTAGGGTTAGGTGTGTTATCATGAGCTCCAAATGAGGCATTTTTTTTCACCGCCGAGTGGAACTAGTACTAGTAGTAGTAGTAGACATGGTAGAAGTGGGACAAGCCGCGTAATTTGTATTCCTAGGAGGGTTAGGGGCATTGTCATGAATAATTCAGTGTTTCCTTTGAATCATTGCAAGACTTAGGTTCTCGATCTATTTTCCCCTTAATTTAAAATTATCTCAGTGATAAATTTGGAGAAGAAAAATAGCTGATGAAAATGAGCAGCGACGACGTGGATTTGAACCAGGGATCTTTGTATCCATAGCTCATCTCGCTATCCACTAGGCTACTGTGTGGTAGCTCGACGACAACCGTTCTTTAAAATGCTTTAATGTATTGTAACTAGTTGAGTAACTAACAACAATGCTGTTGATGTCATTGTCCGTTCTCATGGATAAACATGAATTATTCATGACATTGCCCCTAACCCTCCTAGGAATAAAAATTACGCGGGCGGAAGGGGGGGGGGGATGGAGGAGAAAGGGAAGACGTTCGGAATATTGATCAACTCATTATCCTTCTCGCAGATACCACTTGCATTATAATCATGGGAAAACCATTGATTTCTTTCTTCATCATGTTCATAATGGCCTAGGCCTACTGATGAAATCAGAAGGCTTCTCTCCGTCAGAGAAGCCTTCTCTGGGTGGATTTCAGAAGTAATATAGACCTATCATTTTCAATCTCAATGAAGCCTTTGAACTTTAATTGGCCAGTCATTGCAAAAATGAGGAGTAATTGCAGAATACCCCGCCACTCGGAAATACACCCCTAAAATCACTGGCTACGAGGTTGGAATCACTGCAAAAGAAACAATTCAAGTCCATTGCCAGCTACGCGGATACTGAGTGGGGGTCCATTATTTGAGAACGAAGCAACACAAAATGAATGGGAGTTCCTGAAAAAAATTCAAAGTCCAAACCAACCACCCTGTTGGCGGCTACGAGGCTACGGAGTGGGAGTCCCCTTGAATATGCTTGAGAACGAAGCAACACAAAAGGAATGGGAGTTGCTGAAAAAATTCTAAGTCCAAACCAACTACCCTGTTGGCGGCTACGCGGTCACGAAGTGGGAGTGCAATGGAGCTTGACGCATAGTCATGATAGTGCATACAAGTAGGGCTGAGAATGTTTATTGAGGTCAATCAGCCGTGACCTTGTAGCCGGCTACGAGGTGGATAGATCGAGTGGCGGGGTATTCTGCAATTGTGCCAAAAAGGATTCATAAACGTGAAGCTGCGACCATGAGAAACATTTCCAATTTTGTTAGGAAATACACAATTTTCTTGACTCTCCATAGACTTTGTACACAACCGGTGAAGTGGCGTCAGGTTGCAACATTTTTTACTTATCATGCCTTGCACTGATTATACCAAGTAGGACCATCGTGTAGTTATGGGCCCAGTTTAGTACTTTTTTTAGTACAGTTTAGTACAGTGCCTTTCTAGCACTGTCATTTTGTGGGTCTTCGTAACGCTATGGCATTTGGTTTGGCCCTGTGATAGACGAATTGCTTATTCCACTTTCCCTTGGTGATCCATAAGTCTTATAAAATTTGTTAACAATGGTTTTAGGACCTCAAACCGACAGTTACTTTGAGAAATCAGAGGTTTTTTCCACTGTCTGTTTTTTTTGACGATGCAAACATTACACGTACACTTGAAAGGGGATCCCTACTCGACAAGCTCCGCTTTTTGGGGATCCCCTTCCATCATCTCTAATTTGAAAATAATGCGCCCAAAATGTATAAATATATTTTGTAAAACCAGTTCTAATTTCTGAATATCTAAAACTACACGTATGTATATGGGTGATTCCATAAACTAGGGGTCCAAACTTGTGACATTTTGGTGTCTCTGTTACACCGTGAACCATTCAGCGTTTTTGCACGTATATAACTTCATGAAACAGTTTGTAGATTGTACAGTACACTATACTGTTCATATATAACATACTATTCAAATATTCAAAAATGTTTCATTATTAAAGCTGTTATAACATTACGTGCAAAAAACCTGAATGGTTCACGGTGTAACAGAGAAACCAAAATGTCACAAGTTTGGACCCCTGATTTATGGAAGTACCCATTTATGCCTTGTCACTTAATGAAATAAGATGTGGTAAAAATAAGGTAGTGGATATTTTGCCGGAGGTAATGACGGCAAACTAACGATTACTAAAGGTTTGCCGGCGGCAATCCATATCAACAGAGGGCGCTGTACTCTTTAAAATAGGGCTGAATTATAAGATGTATTAAATTCCCACTAAAAGTTGTGTAGCACGTTTGGTGTAGTGGTTAAGCAAAGGCTCTAGTAAGCGGGATGACTCGCGTTCGATTCCAACCGCACCACATTTTTAAGGTTTTTTTTCTCATCCCCAAATAAATAAGAGTATTCTTCTTTCATTATTTTAACATGTCTCAAACATTTTTTGCAGAGTTTTACATTTTCTTTTTCAGATTTGTGGCTCTGGAGGATTTTTTTTAAAAGGGAAATAAAGTCCGAAATTATAAAATGGTCTGAATCCCATCTTGTGAATACGAGGTAACAACGATAATTTTGGCATGGAGCCAGACTAAAACTTGTCACCGGAAATTGTTAAGAGTACAAAAAAACAGTAACTGCGCATGTTCAGTGCATATCCGGCAAACTAACGTTTACTAAAGGTTTGCCGTCTCCGGCAAAATATACACTGCCTAAAAATGATAAAGAATGATTGAATGAATGAATGAATGAATGTGATGATTTAATCAGGTTTTTTGAAAATTTTGTAGATCAGGCTCAAACTGCCAGCAGTGCCATCTCTCCAATGACATGTGAACTGCCCTGTCCATTCGTGGCCATCATGGATGATCCTATATCCGCCGATGGAGAGAAGTTTTGCTCTCTAAACCACGCCGAGCGGACCTTCAACAAAATGCAGGTTTACCTGCAACGCAAGCAGCTGACGGATGTCGTTTTGAAGGCTGGTGACGTCCGTATCCCAGCTCATAGGCTGGTCCTGTGTGCTGTGTCCGATTACTTTGCCGCTATGTTCACTAATGATGTCGTTGAAGCGACGGCAGGGGAGGTCGAACTGAGAGATCTGGACCCTCATGCATTAAAGGCGTGCATTCAATACATCTACACAGGTCATTATCAATATGGGCGTTTCACAATGCAGTGCGCCACCAAGAGTTTGCCACGGAGAGTTCATTTGTTCCGGTGCATTGTGGGAAATGGTCGACAAATTCGCAGCGCAGGACATTTGAAATTGTTAGTTTTTCCAGTCAGTAGTTTCGTAAGCGTACGATTAGAGAGTTTCTGTTTGCCCTTTTCTTTTCTTTTATTTTTCAGTATGGTGGTTTTTTTTGTAAGGGGGACAGAATGCTATGTCCCAATCTATAACAAATTAGCACAAGTTGTCTACTGACACTCATTCAAATGGGCCGTGTTTTGTCGACCGTAAACTTGAAAAATGGACTCTCCACGGCAAACTCTTGGTGGCGCACTGCATTGTGAATCGCCCGAATTAACTGTGCCGTGCTTCCTTAAGTTATTTACCTCAAACCAGATGTGTTGTAGGGGAAAGAAAAGGTTCATGTTCCTGTGACTGTAAATAAGATATCTTCAAACGGAATTAAAACCCCGAATGGTTAACTTGATAAAGTATTTACGATAGTATAGACCAAAGTACAGTTACAACACAGATATTAACATTCCCAATTCGAGCGATTCACAATGCAGTGCGCCACCAAGAGTTTGCCACGGAGAGTCCATTTGTTCCAGTGCATTGTGGGAAATGGTCGACAAATTCGCAGGGCAGGACATTTGAAATTGTTAGTTTTTCCGGTCAGTAGTTTCGTAAGCGTACGATTCGAGAATATGTTTGCCCTTTTTTTTTTTCATTACGGTGTTTTTTTGTAAGGGGGCATGTCCCAATCTATAACAAATTAGCTCAAATTGTCTACTGACACTCATTCAAATGGGCCATGTTTTGTCAACCGTAAACTTGAAAAATGGACTCTCCATGGCAAAATCTTGGTGGCGCACTGCATTGTGAATAGCCTGAATTGAAATCACTGTCATTGGAAGACAATGCAGGTTAAATTTTGAATTGATTTTAATATTTAAAAATCAGGACGTCTTCCCAACATAGCTTATTGTGGAAGTGAACTCATGGGACTGATGCTGCTATTACAGACCCTGAAAAAGCAAGTGCACAGATTGCTAACTAGCATGTAAATCTGATTTGATTTTCCTGACAGGAGAGATTCTTTTGAAGGAAGAGAATGTTGAGAATCTCTTAGCCACGGGTTGCATGTTGCAGCTGTCTGAGGTGACGGAGGCCTGCTGTGGGTATCTTGTCAAGCAGCTTCATCCATCTAACTGCCTTGGCATACGATCATTCGCTGATTCACAGAGCTGCCCGGATCTACTCAGGGTTGCCCACAACTACACTATGGTATGAATATTCATTTATCTTGCTTACTATTTGAATATTCATACAGTAAACTCCGGCTAAGTCGGCACTCTCGGGACCCGAGAATTTGTGACGACTTACGCGAATGCCGATATCTGCTGTAAGTCGTCATTTTTGCCGGCTTACATGAATGGTCTTTTGCACACATGATTCATTGCACTAATTGGCTTCGATTTACCCTGGATTGTTTCCTTAATGCTTGAGTTGAATCCAGCAAATTAATCCTCGAATTGCATCATCACGTTTGGAGTATTGGAAGTGGAGACCACGATACATATGTACGTGCACAGTAACAAATTAAATGCATGCGTGGTCCGGTATATACCACGCACACATTGACTGCAGCAGTAGTCATTCAACAAGACGACCCCCAAAATGGACAGAGCGCATGCGTACAGCCTAGAGGGGGTACTGGTATTGATATGTTCACAATGCATATACGATGTATGCAGTAGGACACCCTTTTTCAACACTGATACATACAGCGATCACGAGCCGTGCGAAACCACATTTCACTCAACACTTCGCCAACCACAGTACAGGAAGTCAATGCCAATGCGTGATTTGTTGAATGCCGACTTATATAAAGGATTTTGCTTTTTATGGAAAGGGACCAAGAGTAACACGACGACTTGAGCGACATGGCGACGTATAAAAGCCGACTTGGAAATAAAAAAATTAAATGGAAATGCATAACGAACAATCGGGACTTAATAGTCAGACGGCCGACTTGAGCGATTTGACGTGATGTACGATGTCGGTTTAGCCGGAGTTTACTGTACTTGAATATTCATTACCTATTCAAACAAGCCGCTTCTAAGGATATGATCATTCACTGACTCACAGAGCTGTACAGAGCTATTATTGAACTTGAAGGTTGCCCATAGATGTGTCAAGACAACTAATGAATATTCATCACCTTTCAGCATCCAATCAGTAACATGACTGATCTTTCCCCTTCATCCAATCAGGAGAATTTCTGTGAGGTAACAATGAATAAAGAGTTTCTGATGATGAATGCCAGTGACGTCTGTGAACTCTTTGCCAGCGACGATCTCAATGTTCCTAATGAGGAGATTGTCTACTATGCTCTGCTGTCCTGGGTCAATCACAATATGCCTGAACGTAGGAAGTACATCGCTAAGATTATGGCGCACATAAGACTGCCACTACTGTCACGACAGGTAAGGGGGACTACAGAACTTCCCTTCACTTTTAGAATTCTCTTTGTTAAAGATATAGTCCATCATTTGTAATTTGTGCATTTTGTTCGTTTGGAGCAACAAAAGTGCTCAAGATCTAAAGAAGGGTGCTGAACAACTAACCTGATGAAGTTTCAGCTCAGCTTCAGCTGTACATTCCGAGAGAAACAGCATTCTAGGATCTCAATTTCAAATCAAAAGTTGCTGAATCATGTTTTGAATTTGGCCTGAATTCAGTGTCCGCGACACGTTCTCACTGAGCCGATTGCAGCTACGCGATGTCGCGCACTGATCCGACGAATTATAGAAACCACGTGCGCGTGTGTGTCGTGCCAACGCTTGCGCGCGCTTTGCCCAAAAACAAAACGAACTACTAATTTAAATTTCCTACGGTGCGTCTTAAGAAGCACCGTTGGAAAGGCCTTCGTTTGTTGATTTCTTCAAAATGACAGCTTGCCAGAAAGAATAATTTCACAGGGAGTTTAGTCCCCTTACTATCTTTCAACCAAGTATGTTTTTCAACAATAATTACGCCAGTTACTTTTCGGATAGCTGCAAATGATGGACTATAGCTTTAACTCAGCACATTCCTATTGGAAACAAAATGGTGTTCATGGGGAACATTTGGCATTTCTGGACAATTCCAATGTTCCAACTGAGAACTTTCTCTGTTCGTTGTTCTCATTTGGAAACTCTAAGTGTGTTACATTTTGACCAAACAAGTGCATTGCCTTGAAAACATTGTAAGAAGTTTAGTAATGTTGGTATGACACTGAGAAGGCTTTGAACAATAACTGATTTCCAGCAAACTGTAATGATGCTTATGTTGCTTCAGGCTGGTTGGCAGCTAATGCCACGAAGTGAAATGCTTCCCATTGGTGTGTGATTAGTAGCTCTATGCAACTCAACACATTCAATGCAGTTTACAATAATTTAAATATCGCATAACTAAATTCAAGAAGCTTTTTTTTTTATGCAAATTGTTGATTGTTCTTTGATAACCACTGATTTTGTTAACCCCATGGGCCCGGGAAGCGGCCATGGCCGCGGCCGCTAATCCTCATTGGAATGCAGTTGCCAGCTGTGGTATGCCGTGGCACACGGCTAGTGGGTAGTTCCACAGCTGCTGCTTTTGTGCAGTCCCGCTACCACACAAAGGCTGTGCAGTCATGCGGGCCACTTGCTCTATGTGTGGAGGAATGTCCCCATTATAACCCGTGCTTAAGGGGTTAAGAACGTAACTGTCTTCGTCTGGTCCTTTCAGTTTCTGTGTGACATCAACGACAACAACACTATATTCCAAGGAGAGGAAGAATGCCAACGTCTGATCTTTGAAGCCATGAGGTATCATCTCCTACCAGAACGACACCCTCTCATGCAGAGCGCGCGCACGCGACCGCGCAAATCCACCGTGGGTACCTTGTATGCTGTAGGGGGAATGGACAGTACTAAGGGTATGTACGAAGAAAGCTTGCCTGTCTAAAGAACTTTCATCATGTAGCATGCTTGAAAAAAAAATTGCAAGGAAATTGCAGTGTTGTAGTACTTGTACTTGGTACTCGTACTCGAGTACTACTCGAGTACTTTTTTTGGAGTACTTGTACTCGTACTCGAATGTCAAAAGTACTCATAATCGAAATGACGGTACTCGTACTCGGGCAGCAAAGTACTCGTACTCGACATGTCGAAATTGTACTCGATCATCAAAGTACTCGTACTCGAAAAGCAGTACTCGGAGGGAAAATGTTATAGCTTTACTTACAATGGCCTTATTTTATCGATGCTTTCAGTTTGAAATGGTTGATTGGCTTGTGGAGAAATCCAGATTTCCTGATTTTCCTCTGTGCAAGTCCGGACAAACACATTTAACAGCTAGCCGTGAGTGGGTCTGCATATCGGTCTGACTGGGCCTGGGCCAATTACGCACAATGAACCATTTGCCGTATGGCTGTATTCAGAAATGCGAGTACCGTACTCGTACTCGTACTCGGAATTACAAGTACTTGTACTCGTACTCGGAAGTACAAGTACTCGTTCTCAAAGACCTGTTCTTGTACTCCGAGGTACAAGTACTCGTACTCGGAGACCTGTTCTTGTACTCGGAAGTATAAGTACTCGTACTTGGAGACCTGTTCTTGTACTCGGAAGTACAAGTACTCGTACTCGGAGACCTGTTCTTGTACTCGCAGGTACGAGTACTCGTACTCGGAGACCTGTTCTTGTACTCGGAAGTACAAGTACTCGTACTCGGAGACCTGTTCTTGTACTCAGAAGTACAAGTACTCGTACTCGGAGACCTGTTCTTATACTCGGAGGTATGAGTACTCGTACTCGAACTCATATTCGGCAAGCTAAGTACTCGGCAGTACTCGGAAAAAAGTACTCGACTACAACACTGGGAAATTGTGGCAAATTTATAGGTTCTGCAAGATTAACTGAAAACTTTTGTTTAAATTTAACAAGAGATAACGCCTTTTCTGAAACAAGCTTCCAGAGCTATGGCTAAGTCTACTGTCAGAATGCTTTCATGACGTAGAACATGCATCATCAAAACAATGAGTTTAATGAGTAGACCATCAATTTTTTTTCAGGAGCTACAAGTATAGAAAAATATGACCTGCGTACTAACACCTGGACTCACATTGGCAACATGAGCGGCCGCAGACTGCAGTTTGGCGTCGCTGTTTGCCATGATAAACTCTTCGTTGTCGGTGGGCGTGACGGTTTGAAGACCTTGAATACTGTGGAGTGCTACAATCCTGTGGGGAAGTCTTGGAGTATGCTGACTCCGATGGGTACACATAGACATGGCTTAGGTCAGTTTGGAAAACATGAAATCCAAAGCCTTTAAAAAAGTGGCATATTGTGGAGTGTTGTACGTAACTGGAGTGATGTAGAAGTGTTTTGGTGCACAAAAGCAAAATTTACTTGAACCCGAACCCTGCTGAATCCAACAGGATCCAACTATGTCACATACCCGATGGAGCCTGTTGGATTGAGCAGTTAACCCCTTGTGTACATTCCTCATGCAAAATGTTGGATTCAGCAGGCAACTGAACCACATTATAGCGCCATGTTGGACTCCGTTGGATTCAGCAGACAACTGAAAATGAGGCACAGTGGATTGAACAGGAAAGTCCGGTTGGACTCTGTTGGATTTAGCAGGGAAGTCCTGAGGAAGTGCTAGGGAGTGTGGGTTAAAAATACAAGTACAATTAAATGATGAATTATGAGTACAGTAAAAATGATTACCTACAAATTCTACAACTCTGCAAGTTGCAGCCCTATTTTCCCACAATAAGTAGACACCACAAAAGAATTAGATTAAAGATTAACTCCTGTGTTGAGCAGAAATTCAGTTGTGATATCAAGAAATCCACTGAAGTGCAGCCAAAGCCAACCTCCGCAACAAGAAATGAAATAACAAAATGTAAAACGCATCTCATTTCTAACCCTAGGCGTTGGAATGCTTGAGGGCCCGATGTACGCCGTGGGCGGCCATGACGGTTGGAGCTACCTGTCTTCTGTGGAGAGATATGATCCGCAGAGCAAACAGTGGAGCTATGTTGCTTCTATGTCATCCCCTCGTAGTACTGTTGGAGTAGCAGTACTAGATAGAAAGTGAGTCCTGAATAAATTAATCCGTATTTCAAACAACTGTTGGAAACTTTTGCTTAACCCTTTCCTTACCATGGGCGACTTTTGTCGACAAGGAAGTGACCCCTGCTGGTTCCCATGGGCGACTTTAGTCGACCAGGAAACCACACACAAAACACCCTCAACACAGACATATTCACTACTTTTCTGAATGGCAGTATGTTGATATGTTTGGCCGCCCATACATCAACTATATACTAGCTGAAAGAGTGTTTTCGGATCGTTCTAATGGTGTAGTTTATTTATAGTGTTATCATTACAAAATTTCAGAAAAGTGCTTCAGAAGTATCCACACGCAATTTGAGGTATGGAGTGCCATTTGGTCATGTGGTGAAATGGTTTGCAGTCTGATACATGATCACCAGATGAACAAACAGGCATAACTTTCTTATATTTGCACTTATGGACTTCATTTTTACATCACATAAAAGAGTAAGGTTCAAGGAACAAAACTTTACACACAACATCTATGATTTTAATCACTCCTTGACAGTGAAAATCTGGGTTGAAAAAAGTGAGTTTTGGACTTGTGGTCATTTTGTTCACGCTCTAGTGATTTCCGCATGACTGAGCAAACAATTTGGTCCTGGGGAGAGCTAAGTCAATAAACAATGTGGTAATGAAAGGGTTAAACATACTTGTCTTGAGGAAGACCTCTACTGCAACGTGAGAGAAGTTTGTACTAACATGATGTGAAGTGACTAACTCTGACAAAGAAGTTTGGTTCTAAGAAAAATCAGAGATGGGGAAGGGGTTTTTTTGTGGTAATGATACGACCTTGGCACTTTGGCAGAATCTGTACCTCTGAAAAAAATTAACAGTTTTGCCGCTGATTTGAAAGGTTGAAATGTGATGCACCCTCTATGATCACCAATAGTCGTTTACACTTCGGTCACATGATTTTATCGTGTAAGTCATTATTGTAACTTGCTTAAATAACACTGTTGCAAGTCAAGTTTTTGTGATCGTCAGACCTTTATATTTCCCTAATTAAGCCCTGTCCGCACTGGACTTTTTTTGGAAAAACTTACCGAGACTATGGGTACTTTTCCCATTTTAAGTCCAGTGCGGACAGCCTGGGACGTTTTCCTCTCAGTTACTTTTCCTGAGTCCAGCGGTTACTTCTACTGGCCAACTGCTGCCCAGGAAAACTGACCAGGCGCCCGGGAAAACTGACCAGGTCACTTTTTCCGAGACGATAAGTCCAGTGCGGACAGTGCGAGTCGGTAACAGCGGCTCATGAAAGCGTACATCCGCCCCAAGCACGAGTATCGTGCTTACAGTATACATACAGAGACCGCACGGAACACGATCCCACACGTGCTGCGGCCGAAAATTTTGTGGGAACACGTACGCTGCGGTGTGTCAAGTCCAAGCGGTAAAATCTCGTTCTAAATATATTTTAACGAAAAATACATACACAGAAAAGATCAAGATCACGTTCTGGGAATTACTTTGCAGTTATTCTTTTTCTCCACCGATGTTTGTTTGGTATTTTCTACGATCCAAATTTGTCCTGTTGCGCCGTGTAGTCTGCATGGCACCGTACGTAGGCCGCAGTCACTGGTTCCGGTCCTACATCATAGCTTTGATTCTGTTAGCATGCGGTGGGAACCAGCGATTACCGATGGAACAGCTGCTGCTCGGAACATCGTACAGCGGCATGGCTTCGATGTCGTCCATCACAAATGCGTCAGAAATATAGGCATTTTCGTCAAGATTTAGCGTGTCAAGATGACATAATATCGCATGTAACGATTATATTGTGCATTTTAATGGCATGTGTAATATTATACTGTGCGTATCGGGGGCTGAAAAAAATGTGAACGGCATTTTTTTTCTGCGTGAGTCATTATACCGACATCTCGGTCACTTCTACCACGCGGTCTGGGTAAAATTGTGTCGAAAGTCTAAGTGCGGACAGTGGTCACATTTTACCATGGTCTCGGTAAAACCTTTAAAAAAAAAGTCCAGTGCGGACACGGCTTTAGAGACCTTTAATATTTTGGCTGAATACACTCATTTCGTTGTTGTGCTGATATCATTTCTGCATTCAGACTGTATGCTGTTGGAGGTCGTGACGGCAGCGCCTGTCTGCGCACAGTAGAGGTCTATGATCCTCATATCAATCGCTGGACAATGTGCTCTCCTATGAGTAAGCGACGCGGTGGGCTCGGTGTGGCTGTGTGTAATGGATGTCTGTATGCTATCGGTGGGCACGATACACCAAGCAGCCAGCAGTCATCAAGACAGTTTGATTGTGTCGAGAGGTATGTAGACTTCTGCTCCATTAATAACGCTGCCAGATTATTCACAATCTTCCAGGGTATTTACTGAACTTGGCCCATAAAGCATTCATTAGATTACTTTAGTTTAAATGAAAAAAACGTCTTTCCTAAGGACGCATATATTTGAATGCACAACTTGTAAAGCTATTCCTTAGGAATGATTGTAAAGTGCTTTGAGATTGCTGATACGGTGGAAAGCGCTATAAGCACTACGATTATTTATGTGGAGTGCTGTGGCCTCGTGGTTAACGGCACTGGATTCGTGGTCGGCGGGTAAAGCTGCGGGTTGTGGGTTCGAGTCCAGCCGGGGTCATGGTGCGTGTGCCCTTGAGCAAGGCACTTTTTCACTCGTTGCTTCTCTCCACCCAGGAGTAAATGGGTACCTGTGAGGGCAGAGATGGTTATTGTGATTGAATAAGCTTGCTTGTGCCTAACAGGCAGCATCAAGTTTCATACTCCCCAGGGAGCTGAGATGGTATTTGGAATGTTTAATTGGCCCAATGATCAGGGGTAGTAATAATACTGTAAGCGCTGTGATTTAGTTTACTAATAAGAGCATTCTTAAATGCCGATTATTATTATTATTAATATTATTATTGAAGCTATCCAATTTACTTTATATTCGCATCCCGGATCACAACACAGTTGCAATAAACTCATTTGTCAAAACTGATTTCAACGTTCTAATTCTCAGCCTTTGATTGTCTAACCTGTTTCCTTTCTGCAGATACGACCCCCGCTCGGACCTGTGGTGTACCCTTGCTCCTATGAGTCTGTGCCGGGATGCGGTAGGCGTGGCAGTGCTTGGCAACCGCATTTTTGCTGTGGGCGGATACGACGGTCAGTCTTACCTGAATTCTGTGGAGAGTTATGACCCGATGACTGGTGAATGGAGCTATGTAAGTCTTCTTTGGTGCTTTTGTCTCTTGTGTGGCTGTCTTTGGCTTTGAATGGTTCCTGTCTGTCAATCAATCAGTTTGCATTGACTTATTAAAGCCAGAGTCCATCATTCGCAGCTATCCCAAAAGTAACTGACGTAATTATTGTTGAAAAACATTCTTGGTTGAAAGATAGTAAGGGCACTAAACTCCCTGTGAAAGTATTCTTTATGGCAAGCTGTCATTTTGAAGAAATCAACGAAAGAAGGCCTTTCCAACAGAGCTTCTTAAGACGCACCGTAGGAAATTTAAATCAGTAGTTCGTTTTGTTATTCTGTGAAGCGCGCGCAAGCATTAGCACAACGCACGCGCGCCTTCGGTTGCTATAATTCGTCGGATCAGTGCGCGACATCGCGTAGCTGCAATCGGCTCAGTGAGAAGGTGTATCGGACGCTGAATTCAGGCCCAATTCAAAACATGATTCAGCAACTTTTGATTTGAAATCAAGATCCCAGAATGCTGTTTTTCCTGGAATACACAGCTGAAGCTGAGCTGAAACTTTATCAAGGTTAGTTGTCCAGTACCCTTCTTTAGATTTGAGCACTTTTGTTGCTTCAAACGAACAAAATGCACAAATTACAAATGATGGACTATACCTTTAAATCGTGACGTTTGGTCAGGTGGTCAAAACTGTACTCACTTCATGTTTCTTTGTTTCCTGACATAGGTGTCTCCACTGAACACTGGCAGGGCTGGTACCTGCGTGGTGCATGTCCCTATCACCTGATGAATATGCATGAGGTCAAAGGTGAACACGACTGATGTTAATGGTTACTCTACGACAAAATACAGTGTACTACTGTTTTATGTTATATGCTGCTTTGGTACTTCGGAACAAAATTGTCTTTTGCAAATCATTACAGGGTTTTGTTTGACGAAATTTTAACATTTTGTTTTTCACAGAGACTTTTGGGAAAAAGAATATTAGATTTTCAGACCTTTTCAGCATTTAGTAAAATTGTCAGCATCTGGATTACAAGGGTTTTAGTTTGCTACTTGTCATTAAAGGAAAACTTTTAAGTGCATATATATATTGTAACACTACGCAGAGTCCACAAAAGAAGTAACTTAAACCAAGTTGTGTATCTTATTAAATATTTATATTCAAGTATTTATCATTCAGACAGCTGCTTGTATAACATATGCTGCCTAAATGAATAGTTTCTCCATTATTTGAATAATACATTGAGGTAACATTGTACCGTGGTTACATTGAAACCATCCAAATATATTTTGAGAATATATTAATCTTCCCTAAGTAGTCTTCCCGATAGTCTTCCCAAGTGTACAAGTTAACTAGTTTAATCCAGTTTATGGCTGAAGCTAAATAAGTTCAGTGCTTTACATTGTTCCCATTTAATCCGGTTTAATATTTTTAACGGGATTAAGTTCAGTGTACACCAGTTGGTTAAATTAGATTTTTATGTCATGAACTGGGTTAACTTTGTCAGAGGCATTCCTTACTAGTTGAGTCAGTTACTAATCCAAAGTTTTAATTGAAACCCTGTTGAGCATTCCTTAAGATATTTCCTATTTATTTTCAAAAAACAGAAATAGTTTTGATAGATATAAGTGACATAAACCAGAGAACGGGAGACAAATTTCCAGATCAAAAAAAGTCCATGTTCCGTTTTTTGGAATTAGATTTTCGCAGTAAACATCGGCATTACCTTTTCTACAATACAAAAGTGTCAAATTGTAATGTTTTCATACTTAGCATTTTAAGATACATTGTAAAATGAATGAATGTCATCATTTCTTGAACAGTAGATGTAAGATGATATAGATGTATGAAAATGGTGTAACTATTTGGTGGTTGTACTCTTACATATATCTGTGCTGTACAAAGACATTTGTATGTTTCATGTACAACAAATTAGCATAGGCAACTATAACAAAATGAATTTGAAGTAACAGTTAACATTTATAGCATTTTCTGGTGTTGAAAACATTGCTCAATAGTGCAATCTGTGTCGGAAGCATTAACACACAGGGTATAAGTTGTGTATTTTTTATATATTTTTCTCCAACTCCAACTCAAGGTAAACAAGTAAACAGTAAACCAGAATTCTATTTGATTTTTTTCGTAGATTGTTCAATGCAATTGCTGCATTCGCCGTCACAACTCTGTTACTTATCTTATGTTCAAACCCACCTCCAAAATACGATTGTATTATTAAGAAATGTGGTTTTGTTTTTGTTTTTTGGAAGAAACACCTTTGATACAAGAACGTGGATATTTTAAAAGTCTTATTAAGTTCAAATGTCAATGTTTATGTAAATGCATGTTCTCTCTACTTATAATTTATTTGCAAGTTATTTTCACGTACTCTATCAATCTGCATACAACTCAATGCAACATTATCTTGGCTGTTTGTTCATTAAGATATTGGTTCGTTACTTCGTTCCAACTATTATTTTGTTCTTCTGTATTTACCGTTTTAAGCCATATAGCATTGCCAAAGTGATATTGTTTTGATATAGCTATTGTATTTGTTATTATATATTTGTACACATATTCACCTATTTAGACTTGAATAACGCGGTTATGTTTAACCCAGAAATTGACTTCGGACTATAAAATGGCCTAAATAGGGGAACTTAATTTCATTTTTTTTAAATTGGATCACGCTATTACAAAGAACATGTACATTTAATACAACAGGAATGGTTTTGCAGATAGGATTTGTGGTATTCTGTTGAGTCAGGTTCTTGGAAGTTTTGTTTTGACGAGTTTTGCCTAAAAAGTCATTTCTACGTTTTGTATCATCATTTCAGCGGAGAATACCAAATTGCTTTTGAATATTTCATACATTATATTATTATTCACCATAATCATTTCTCCAAATCATGAGAAACCCCACCCCCCCCAAAAAAAGATTTTTTTTTTGTCTTGCAGAATGGAAGTTGTTGCTTAATGTTTCATGATGAAATTAATGTTTCATTACTGACTGAAAGGTAAAAAACTGCAAGTATGTTTTGGTCATGTGTGCGCTATTCAAGTTGCGGCCGTTAAATAAAGAAAACTGAGAATAAAAGTTGTGCAGTTATGTGATTTTCTAGAGTATTTAAGATGAAGTCCTTTCCCTATTCGTGGATAATCCCATCCCATTCCAATTTGGAATCGCTCATTTTAACTATCAGCTTTGAAGTTTAGGTTTCAACAAGTAACGAGTTACTATAATAAAACAATAAAAACATGATCAAAGTTTAACTTAAGTGAGTGAAGGTCAATAAAAATTACTGCTGCCTAAATAAATGTTATCTGTATTTACACTGCCAAACCCCTCTGTCTGATTTGTTTTAGATTAAAATGTAATGGTCAAAGTTTAAATAATTGTAATTTAGGTTCAAGTGTCAAAAAACAAAACTTGTTTCTCCTGAAATGAATGATCTATTTTTTCACTATCTGGTTATTTTATCGTTCAAAAAAAAGCTTCATTACACCCGTTTGCTATAGGTTCTGTTGAGAAAAACCAATATAGAAAGAAAATGAAACTTTTAGGGATTTAAGAAATCACCCCTAACTCCCGCAGAAAAAAAACAATTCTTTGCAGGATTCAAATTTAGTTCAACAGAGGGATACAAAAAATATCGTGGATCACTTCTTTGTTATGACTATCGCAGAAACAAGTTTACTGATCAAATCGGAAGCATTATTTAACACTCGCACTACGACCCGAGCAGTTTATTTGTTGTCACAATTTTAGCACCCAGTTACAAAGTCTACTCATTAAACAGCTTTTATAACTCTGTCCCCGTACGGGTTAAGCAAACACAATCCACAACTCATCACATTCGATCAGATCACTCATTTCTGGGCCATGGTGTAGACCCAAAACCCCAGTCTACTACAATTCCAAAATGGAGCTGGATTTTGACGATACAACCAACACGTTGCAGGGATGGGATATAGCCATCATTGTCGTGGTCTTCCTTCTCGTGCTGGCCGTTGGCATTTGGGTGAGAAACAGTTTCCATCGATTTGGTTGATGGTTGATTTTAAATCATAATTGGAAACTTTAGTAGAAGCTATAGCTAGTTTTAAAGTTAGCAGGTGCGTCAAACATTTGTTTTGTTTATTCCCCCAAACAAAAGTAATGGGGGGGGGGGTCTTTCAAGACGCTTCACTGACAATAATTATGGTGTCTAGATCCTTACCTTCTAGGTCCAACAAATGTAATGAGCAAAGAGAACATTAAATGTTCCCATGTTGCCGTAAACTAAGGTTATTTTATGTAGGCCTACAATCCCGGCCAAAATGGTTGGGACACTTGGAAATAACCTTAGCCTCCAACGGTCACCAACTCCCCCGCTAGCTCCCCCGGTCAATGTTGTTCTCTCCAGCAGATGGAACACACACCGCGCAATGAGAGACAAAATTGAGCGGGGGCTGGGGGGTTGGTGGCCCAGCGAGATTTGGCCAGGATTGTAGGCCTATATTCTTACCTAGGAGTGTCATTAATAATGTCCGTCGCGTTCTGGCTGTCCTGCTTCTTATTGGTTACATTATTGGTTTCTGAAAAGCAAGGTGCGACAATTACTCCCACAATTAGAAAATGGATCAAAATCCAGGTGTTAGTAATTCTGTCGTTGGTCCTTTGGTTTTACTGTCTTTTTGATAGTCTGCCTGGGTGTCCAATCGAGGTACAACCAAGGGTTACTTCCTAGCAGGCCGAAGCATGTCCTGGTGGTTGGTAAGTGTCATAGCCGTTCAATAAATTCCATGAAAATGTTAACCATTTATAACAATCTGAAAATAAAGTTTAATTTTAGTTCATTCACTTTATTAAATGGCAAAAAAAACCACCATGCCAAATTTGTACAAGATGAACAGACATAGTTTAGCTCATACACGTGACGGCTTTTTTTTTTTCAAAGAAAGCAAATACCGCCCAACCTTTCAATAATGAAACGGACTTCTCAAATTGTATGGAACGCACATGATTATGAATTGGTTATAATTATTCCAGGTTGGTTTATCGCTGTACGTGAGTAACATAGGAAGCAGTTCGTTCATTGGCTTAGCGGGGACAGCATCGGTGTCTGGATATGCTGTTATTTCATACGAGTTCCATGTAAGTTCTTCACAAAACTGTCTTTGTATTAAGAAAGTTATGAATATTCAGTTTGTATCATGTAAACAGCTCAATTCGAGGAGTGAATAATAGTGTGATGTTATTTGCATTCGTTTCTAGTTTGGCGGAATTATATTAGCATGTTACAATAATTTAATACGATATATAGTCGTGTTCCCTAACGTGGCGCACTTCGAAGCCTACCCGACTTTCCTCGTGTAGTGTTGCCAAACCTCTTTGTTGACAAACCTCAAATTCATGCAGTAAAACACTAGTACTTTAACCTTATTAATGCTTGCTATTTTACCTCTGTGAACAATTTCAGTTTCATAAAATTTAATCCGAAATTCAAAAACGGTGGCGTCCGGAAATTGGGCACAATTTGGCGGAGTGTTCCCTAACGTGGCGCACTTGAATAAATCTCAGAAAATTCCAATTTAACATTTAAGAATTTCTGTAAACTTGATAAATTCTGATAAACATTTATTATCTCTACTGACATGCCTAGCCAGATGTTTGTCAGAAAATTATTTTCTTATTTTTTGGGGCATTTTTAAAGGGTTCACTTTGCACTTGAAAATAAAATCGGAAAATCACGCCAAAATAAATTTTTCTTCTAACTTTGTTACGGGTAAATAAACTCGCAATTTATGAAGAGGAGTGTGTAGAACTTGATGAAATTTCACTTTCTTGGAAATTTCAGTTAAAACTTTTGCTCTAGGTTGGCGCTACAGGCGAAAAATCAAAGTGCGCCACGTTAGGGGCCGCGCCACGTTAGGGTACATCAACAATATTCTTTCAACCAATTGGTTAAATTGTGTTGTTTTATTACATTTTATGTATTTTTCTTATTTTTCCTCAGGGCCTGTTTTCCTTAATCCTTCTGGGTTTCATCTTTATGCCAGTGTACATTGCAGCCGGTGTAAGTGAATTTATACGGGATTTGTCTATCGATACTAGTATACTTTGGCATCCTTATTATTTTACTTAATACATGTCTTGCAAGTAATTTAGTAGAATTCAGATTACGTACACGAGAGTGACACCAAAATATACTTGAATCTCCACCACCGGCCGTCGCAATCTAACCGAGCCACGGGCTATTAAAAATAAAACTGCAATCTAAAGTATCTTTGTGTAAAACCTTTCCTTACGAATGTAATTGATAGGTAACTAATGTTTTCTTTATCACTGCAGGTATTCACGATGCCTGAGTACCTCAAGAAGCGATTTGGAGGCGAGAGGCTCCGGATATTGCTGTCAGTAACGGCAGTTGTACTCATTGTCTTAACCAACATGTCGGTAAGTTATCTGTGGTCGAGTTACACTGGACTATGGAAACAAAATATTAGAGACATGAAAGCTACTTGAAATTCAATTATTTATAACCAGGACGAAATCTGGACAAAAATGTACGACGAGGATGGGATTCGAACCCACGCGTGCAGAGCACAATGGATTAGCAGTCCATCGCCTTAACCACTCGGCCACCTCGTCTCGTATATGATTTAAATGACGTTTATTTGATAAAATAACACATTATAGTTGGAAGCATGCAGTTGATTAACTGTTCAATTACTGTACATGTAAAAGTATTTGGATTCCAAAGCATGACTTACTCTTGATTCCTACATTTTAAGGAAGTGCATCTTGACGTACTGCTATGCTGATTATAGAAATACCATTGATATTCTTTATACTCAAATTTTGGTCTTTGGAAAAAAAAAAGGACTAATTTCCCCCCATTATTTTGTTCCATGCCTGTCACAGTCTGAGATGTACGCGGGTACAATAATCATCCGACAAGCCCTGAACTGGGACCTGTATCTATCTATCTGTCTTCTGCTGGCCATGACCGCTGCTTACACGGTAGCTGGTGGGCTAACTGCGGTCATCTATACGGACGCTCTGCAGTCGGTTTTTATGATAGGAGGAGCTATCGTCTTGTCGATTATTGGTAAGTTGAAATAAAATGTAAGATAAGGATCCAGATTCCAGTGCCGATGGACAGAAATGTACATAGTGCAAATAGTCGCCCGATATCGGAACACTATGTGTCCCAAATCCAGTGCCGTTGCATGGGTATACGCTGGGGGCACATTTCTTAATAAGCGTCTTACGATAAAAGCTCTGCCTTCCACCAATTGTTTCAAATTGACCTTTTACAGCGGTCATCGAGGTTGGAGGATTCGAGAATCTGTACCTGAAATTCATGACGAGTATCCCGACGCCCACCTTCCTAGCAGGCAACACTTCCTGCGGTATTCCAAGCGAGGAATCCTGGCACATCTTCCGGGATGCAACCACCTCAGACCTACCGTGGCCCGGCGTGTTGTTCGGTATCTTCCTGCTGTCTGCCTGGTACTTTTGCACCAATCAGGTTGGTGCTACTATAATCAGGTTGTTGACTATAATTTCATTCTAAGCAGGCCAGGGGCAAATATCTTATCACTGCTTTAACCACAGAAATTTAGTGATTACAGAAAATAGTACACCTGATACCACCTGTGACTAGATTTCAGCTGAATTAGTTAAGAAAATAAATCGCTGAGCAGTGTCTGCTAAGCAATCTGAGCTTTGGCAAACCGTAAATTGATTATGATCCTTGATGAAACGAACTTGGGTATGATCGAAACTTTGTATTCCACAAAAGAAAAACAATGGCGGGAAAAAAAGTAGCTTGCGAAAAATTGAAAGGCAAAATGTTTATGGCGACGAGGATGGGATTCGAACCCACGCGTGCAGAGCACAATGGATTAGCAGTCCATCGCCTTAACCACTCGGCCACCTCGTCTGATAGACTTTATTATTTACTCCAGTGAAAATGTAATATTTTTTCTTGGCACAGGTGTTGGTGCAGAGGTCGTTATCAGCGAAGAATGTGACTCACTCCAAGGCTGGGACCCTCCTAGCAGCCGTGCTGAAGCTTCTCCCCATGATTCTTATGATCTATCCTGGCATGATCAGCAGGGCTCTATGGCCAGGTGGGTTCAGAGAAAATGACACAAGAAACAGACGTCATTAATTCATAATTTGTTAACACATGGGGTAATTTAGTGGAGTTTGTAAATTGGGATTGAGAGCCACCTCCCCTTCGTGAATCTGGTATATGAATAGGATAATGTCTACCATGCATTATAAATAACTCTCCTTTAAGAAAAACACAAAGCAGACAGCATTTGTTTTTTTAGAACTCTACCCTCGGTAACGCCAAATATACAAAATCGACGCGAAGTCCTTCTTGCTTGTAATAATCATTCATTTTATTACTTACATTTTTAGATTATGTGGCCTGTCAGGACTCCTATACTTGTACCAAGGTTTGTGGAAACCCCAACGGCTGTTCGGACATCGCTTACATCAGACTTCTACTCAAACTCATGCCAACAGGTCGGTTCGACCGTTTATGTCATTTCTAGTGGTCATGTAGGCCTGGCCTTCACAAAATCATATGCCTAATACTGTTTGTATTTATCAAGTTTTGGGTTTAGCCATACACCGTTTTACATTTACACACAGTACGCACATACGCCAGCGTGGGGTTTTTTTTCATAATAGCAACAATGAACAATCATGGCGGACAAAACGCAAAGGAATCTTACACCAACTTTTCAGGCCCACTGAATTTGTGAACAAGTGAGATAAACTGCAATGTTGGGTGTACAAAATATGGCCCCAAAAATGTCCAAGTTAAAATTTTCAGGAGCTGTAGCCTACGTGTTTTAAGGACAAATTTGAAAAATGGTTTTGGCAGTAGGCCTATAAAATCATGGACGCTAGAGTGGCGTTCATGACTGCAAGAACACCGTCAGAGAACTCGGCCTTAATATCTGGACTTTATCCAAGTTTTATAAGACTTTTTGCCTTCCTGTCAGCTTCCTATTTCTTTCTTCGATCCTCAGGTTTAAAGGGCTTAATGATGGCAGCCATGTTGGCGGCACTAATGAGTTCGCTCACGTCCATTTTCAACAGTGCCAGCTCTATCATTACCATGGACTTGTGGATCAAAGTGCGACCTCTGGCGTCGGAAATAGAGCTAGTCATTGTTGGCAGGTATTGAGGTACATTACTATAAAAAAAAACAACTTCTGATTCAAAAAAAATTGTCCAATGGTTTAAAGAAAACCATTTTGTTTTACATCTCCCATCTCGCAGGTTATGCACCGTAGTCCTAGCCGCCATCAGCATCCTATGGCTCCCTCTGATTCAACTGTTTGGTTCGGGACAACTGTTCGTCTACATCCAGTCAATAACTTCCTATCTCTCACCGCCGATACTGGCTGTCTACACGGCAGGAATATTCATTGAGAGGGTCACAGAACCGGTGAGTGAATCCGACGAACAGGTGGATCCACGCGCGCGCACGCGTTCTTAAAGTCGAGACGAGCGTATTGTGACAACCTCATTGGTCGATGGAACATTCAGTGCGTGCGTACCACCTGCGCCCGAGCGTGGTTTAACCTCAGGATATGAAAACGCCCAAAATTCTAACAAGCAGTCGAACAACAAACAAATTAACAAACAAACAAACCAACCAACTAAACTTAAAGTGCCTCCTAGAAAGTTATCAAAGTAACGAATTGATTCAAACGTTCACTTTTAATCTGAACTGAAGTCATTTTAACTTCGTGTTTTTCCATATCAGGGCGCCTTTTATGGTTTACTTCTTGGCGAAGTCATCGGCTGCACTTGGATGGTTCTCGATTTTGTCTTCTTAGCGCCCCCTTGCGGTGGGGTGGACGTGCGCCCTCTAGCACTTCAGAAAATACACTACTTGCATTTCGCCATCATGAATTTTACAGCTACGCTGCTGCTTATGGTGTTGATCAGTCTGATGACAAAACCCATTCCACCAGAGAAGGTGCGAAATGTGTTAATATTTTTTGAGAGAGTTGAAGTAAATTTAGTTGATAATGGTGTAATGGTGGTGGTAATGATTGTCATGGTGTAGATAATGCTGATTCGTATGATAATTATGTTGATAAGGGTTTTTGGTAAAGCGTTATTGATAATGGTTTTGATAATAATGATGATGATGATGATGATGATGGTATGTTGGGATGCAGATGCAACTGGAATGTGTAAGACATGGCAGTATGAGCCCATAACGAGAAACATCATTTTTAATACAATCTGGAAGATTTCACAGCATCCATTAAAAACACTCTTCACAGCTCATCAGACTTACTTGGTGGACCAAGAGGAGCAAACTCCCACGAAAGCCGATGTCAGAGAAGGAGACCAAAAAAATTTGGAAAGAGAACACAAGAAAAGAGAAAAGGCCGCAGCTAAACAAACTGGTACGAGATAAATGGTGACAGCATTTTTGTTATGTCAAATTTGAAAACCAGTTATCTTCTATAAAACAATAACCTTCCCCATTTTGTTTTTCCTTGGATTTTGCAGACGAACCGCCGTCTGGAATCCGCCGCATCTGGAACTTTGTCTGCGGCATTGAATCGTCGCCTTCGGATGAACCGACACCAGACGAGATCGAGGAGATGGAGAAACGGATGACGTCATTGGAGGAGGATCCCAAGTTGGCGACTGTGGTCAATGTGGCCTGCATCGTTGTTTGTTTCTTGGGTTTCGTGGCCTTTGGAGCTTTTGCATGATATATATTACCGGCGACTGATTCAATATTGACTAGTCAGTCTATTTTGTAATAAGAATAAGTTTATATCTGCAACTGTTTATTTGCTTTAAATAAACAGGATTGTTTGAAATATTATGTAGGAGATCAAAGACAAGTTCTTTTAGAACATAAAGCAGGACTGTTCTTATCAGAACAAAAACTACTTACCGAAAGTTGATAATAAGCAGGACAAGTTCTTTTCAGAACTAACTATCTTCTAAGCAGTATTACTACATGGTGTTACCGCAAACCGAAACGATGCTAATATTATGTAAGCCATTCAGTACATTAATGTAGGTTATTGCTGACAAGTATCATTGATACGCGAATTTTAATGTTAGCTTTATATCCTGCGAAACAGACCAAAGGCACTATGCGTCAATGCCCTTTAATAATTTCAGACCACTGTTTTTGCAACGCCGTGATTGGATGGTTTGAACGACTGTATTTTTCACATGATATCAAAAAATATATCCACCATAACAAGGGATATTCACTGCACGTATTATTTCCTTATCCTTTTTTTTTAAAAATCGTGTTTTTATTGTGGTTGGAATGTTTGTTAGCTCTACTTCACTACACTGATTTGCCACAAGTTTGAGAGCTCCAAATATTTCATCTGAGCGACAATCTAATCATAAAGGCTTAGACAAATGTTTGAATGATTCCGTTAAGATAGACGGTAACAGATTGTACACTGGCTGGACGGGACAATTTTTTTTGTCGTACGAAATGAAACGCTTACTTGATGATTGTTTTTAATAAATAAAAGTGATTGCTTACAGGAAAAAAGGTTGCCAAGAGTAAATCAAAGGGAAGTCTTTTCGAAATTACCAGTTACAATGTTTGACGATTTTTTAAACTTGAATTCGTTGTTACAAAAAATGGCGCACTTGGGACAGTGTAAATATTTACATACATTATGCAACGCTAATGCTTAGATAAACCTATCGCGTTGACCAACCGTATACTTCATGCCAGATATATAAGCCAGTTCAATTGTACTCGAAAATGCAGCAGCATGTTTGATGAACACATCTCTCAAAAGAAAATAAATTTATTCCAAAACAAACTAGCCGGTTACAATAAGGATTTAAACCTCCATCATGGAACTGGATTATGATGACACCCTCAATTCTCTAGAAGGATGGGATATCGCGATCATTGTCGTGGTCTTTGTTCTGGTGCTTGTTGTCGGAATATGGGTAAGATATCTTTGAATTTGAATTTCATGTAAGGTTAAAATATTAGTTCGTCTACTGAGAATTCGTTAATGTGTTTTTACTCCACATTAATTCCCTTTTTTACCAATTAGGTGCGGTTGGGATTGTCTATGAACAAGCCCGATTACTTTTCAGCAGACCATGCAACAACAATGTGGAAATGTGACTAGTATGTTCAGAAGAGTGCAATATCTCCCAAATATCTCCCCAAAAAAACGTGTAGGTTTGGAAAAGAAATTTAAGCTTATTAACGTCCAATTAATGTCTTACTTTGAATTAATATTCGGTTCAATTACATGCTCTCAGTCAAACTGAACACCAAGGATTATGCTTGCAACAGTCCTGGCTTGCACGGGTAATATCTTTAAGGGAATTACGAATGTAATAACTCGTATCTTTGTCCGTCGCATACAGCTGAAATGAAGTTCTTCATATTTTTTCATTTTGTTTAATTTTTTTCCCGCAGTCTGCCTGGGTATCGAATCGCGGAACAACAAAAGGTTATTTCCTGGCTGGTCGGAGCATGTCCTGGTGGCTGGTAAGAAACAAAGCTGCATTTTTTTCTCACATTCTGAAACTCTGATTTCATATTTTTTTGATAAATGATTTTATACATTTGTTTCTTCCAGGTTGGTTTGTCTCTGTACGTGAGTAATATAGGAAGCAGTTCGTTCATAGGCTTAGCGGGGACAGCGTCGGTCTCTGGATATGCTGTTATTGCTTACGAGTTCCATGTAAGTTGTTTGAAAGTCATTTGTCATTACTTTTACCATGGGCCTTATTCGCGAATCGGCCATATTGGATTGAGAGTGAGGTAAAATCTTCATTTTTAGAACTTGTGTAGAGAAATGAAAGCAAGTAGATTACTAATTAATTCCAATCTGCTTAATTTTTTTAAATAATTTTTAATTACACGTTTCCTTATGTTTACAGCCAGATTAAAAAAAAAAAATAACAGTAAAATAAGGCTGCATTATGCCTGCAAAAATAGGCTGGCGCCATCCCATTCAAAAGTTAAGAATTAATGATACATGTTCAGGGAACTCTACAAAAAGAAAATATAGTGTGATGCCATAATTATCTTGCATGAATGGCTGACATTAAATTGTCTATGTTTCTTTTCACATTTTCATCCTCAGGGTTTATTTTGTTTAATTCTTCTTGGTTTCGTCTTCATGCCCGTTTACATCTCAGCAGGGGTAAGAAAACAGTTTTGTATCAACTCTGTCAACACAAATCATCCTTGAGACTTAAGATACAACAAAATGCAATTGAATCAGTCTCCATTTTGTATACAACAATAAATTATTGGCTTGAAAAACGTAACGAGAATGTCAGATTAGTCACATCATTATGATATCTGAAAATGGCTATACAATGTCTTCATGACCTATTGATATGGGTATGCTTCACTTTTGAATTTTGCAATAGAAATCTTTCAATATAACATATTTTAAGATATTCCTGCAAAAGTTCTGTGTGCTCTTTCAACCATTAAACAGCCGTCGACGCTCACACTTTTTGTCCTTGATGTTGGCACAGGTATTCACGATGCCTGAGTACCTCAAGAAGCGATTTGGAGGCGAGAGGCTCCGGATATTGCTGTCAGTAACGGCAGTTGTACTCATTATCTTAACCAATATTTCGGTAAGTTATGATACAAAGAGTCAAGCTAAAGTTAACCCTAAAGGGGCCGGGGGCGGAATCCGCTCCCCCTCAACATTTTCCGCGATAGCCTCTAAAAAAATGTTTTCGCGACCCGAGCAGTTATGACTTTTTAGCCTCGAGCTTTGCGCATCTTTTGATACCAAAAAACATAAAAATCGGACCACGGGTTGCCGCGTAGCGAAAAATTTCCCGGCGCAAACTGAATTTTCGCATATACGTCGGGTACACAGAGCACAATTGCCATTCGTATTATGAATAATTAATTAGCCATAATTCGAAAACCTTTTGACCTATAGTCATGAAATTTCTTGGGTATGTTTAGGAAGAGTTGCTCTATGCATGTGCTGAGTTACAAAAATTTTCGTCACTCGATGGCCGAGATCTTACCGCCCCCCCCCCCCCCCCCCCCGGCTGAGAGATGGTCTACATAACCCGGCCCCTTTAGGGTTAAATGTCCAAAGGACTCATTCCCATACATGAAAAAAACTGAACAAAGTGCTTCATATTTCTATTGCAATTGGACATGACAAAACATAACCAACAATTGTTTTATTTTTTTTTGCATTGGTTGTTGCATTTTCTATTGAAATTTATAAGAAAAAGTTTTTAAAATGGCGACGAGGATGGGATTCGAACCCACGCGTGCAGAGCACAATGGATTAGCAGTCCATCGCCTTAACCACTCGGCCACCTCGTCTGACAATACGCATTGATGTCGAAATACATAATATTATTCAATCTCGGTCCAAAGGTTGAAGACTAAGTACAGGTTGTAAACAACCATAGTATCAATATTTGCATTTTGACAACGCCACTAGTAACATTCCATCAGAGTGTATCCACGAAAACGAAGCATACATTCTAAATCAATTGATTTATTTTGTTATATATATTTTCATATTAAATTAACATCAACAAAATAATAATTTTACAAAATAATAATTTGTAGTAGTTATTAAGGTACGTAACTGTACTGGTTTAATATATTCATCACTTTCTCTGGCCATAATACATGAGTCGTTAAATATACCCCTCTTGCTCTTGCAAACATGTATTATTTATTTAAAAACTGTCATTATCTTTCCCATATTAGTCTGAGATGTACGCGGGTACAATAATCATCCAACAAGCCCTGAACTGGGACCTGTATCTATCCGTCTGTCTTCTGCTGGCCATGACCGCTGCTTACACGGTAGCTGGTGGGCTAACTGCGGTCATCTACACGGACGCTTTACAGTCGGTTATCATGATAGGAGGGGCAACAGTCCTGTCGGTGATTGGTAGGTTCAAAAAGGGAGGGGTTTTGTAAAGTTACATGATTTTTGTTTCCCAAATTAAAAAAGGGCATTTCACAATTTTGTTAAATTGGTATACTATTAAGGCAGTAGTCTTCGTTCAAGACGTTACTATCTTATTGTTACGCGTCCAATTTTGTGCGCCGTGTATTTTGGTATTGTCATCGATCGGTGCAATTTTGTAGAATCGAATCAGCGTCAGGAGTCGAGTAAAATTAATCTATAATGTACAAACACATGTTATTTCCTCTTCATGACAAAAAAACCCAAGAATTGAACAGGATATAGAGGCCACTACAGGTGGCAAAACCTTGAAAACTTGTATCAGGCATGCCATCAAGGGCGGATCCAGGGGGGGCAAAGGGGGCCATGCCCCCCCCCCCCCCAAAAAAAAAAACGAAACCAATTTTTTTTTTTTATGTGACATCGCAATAAAGGCATGCAATGAGTACACCACCATCTTTTCCTCAAAAAACATTGGTTAAAGTGGTCAGAAATTGCCTCAGATCGCACCACAGAGCATCTAGAATCCAAAAAATTTTCGGGGCCCTTAAGCGGGCCCCGAACCCCACACCGTAATTTTTTTGACCCACATTTTGGGAGGACCAAAATTGTTTTGGCCCCCCAAAAAAAATTGTGTTCTGGATCCGCCCTTGCATGCCATTACACAAAACAGACGAATTATTACAGAAAAACAACTCGTGCTTCTGAGCAATAGTCATAATGGGCTACCAGTAGGATCACCGTACAAAGTCCAAGGGCATAGACAAATTCAATAGAAAATAGTTTATATTACATGAAGAATCGAATACAGTGAAGGATGGTTGAAGTTGAGAGAAGATGAAACCACGCAGGCCCTGGAACTATGACAATTATGATGAGAATAAATCAACGGTTTTCTTTACAGCTTTTATTGAAATAGGGGGTCTGGAAAATCTGTACCTGAAATTCATGACGAGTATACCGACGCCCACCTTCCTAGCAGGCAACACTTCCTGCGGTATACCAACCGAGGAATCCTGGCACATCTTCCGTGATGCAACCACCTCAGACCTGCCCTGGCCCGGCGTGTTGTTCGGTATCTTCCTGCTGTCTGCCTGGTACTTTTGCACCAATCAGGTTGGTTCAAGTAGAGTTTAATTTCAATTTTAAGTACAACAAAAATAAACTCTGGGAAACTTTTATTGTGAAACACTATACACAAAACAGGTGGATAAAAACAAAACACACACACGCGCACACAAAAACAGAACGACGAGGATGGGATTCGAACCCACGCGTGCAGAGCACAATGGATTAGCAGTCCATCGCCTTAACCACTCGGCCACCTCGTCTACGGTAGTTCACAAATTCTCCATCAGTACAGACGTAATGCAAAGTCTATAATCAAACCTTTGAATTAGTCTAAATTATTCTCATTTTAAGCAAACGTTGCTGCATGAGTTTATGCTATCACATGTACCTCAAATTGACGTAGTTCATCACGCCGTTGAATCGTTACAATTTTTTTTGTCAACCGTATCATTTTTGGAAATAGGGGAATTTTTCAATAAGGATTTACACATTATTATTTGAAAATGACACACCAAATACTTCCAGCATGGAGGATGCTTACAGCGAATGGAATGGAACTTATAAATTAATTATCCCAGCTTGACTTAAACAATGTTTCAACAAACAAAACTTTCGTATTACAGGTGTTGGTGCAGAGATCGTTATCAGCGAAGAATGTGACTCACTCCAAGGCTGGGACCCTCCTAGCAGCCGTGCTGAAGCTTCTCCCCATGATTCTTATGATCTATCCTGGCATGATCAGCAGGGCTCTATGGCCAGGTAGGTTCAGAGAAAATGACACATAAAACAGTTGTCTATCATTATAAATAGAAGTCAAGATCTTGCTTTTTTTTTTAAGGAATAACTGATATTAAGGTATATTTTGTTTCACTTTCCTCATGATACAAGCTGTATTACTTTGGTAACACTACACAGTGCTTGAGGTAAAAAAAAATAGACTTTGTCAAAATTTTGACGGGTAAATGCACTTTTAATAACATTTGTTTGACTTTAAATTAATATCATTCAGATTATGTAGCCTGTCAGGACTCTGATACTTGTACCAAGGTTTGTGGAAACCCCAACGGCTGTTCGGACATCGCTTACATCAGACTTCTGCTCAAACTCATGCCAACAGGTATGGTTATTGGTATCATCCCAGGTCTAATTGAAGTTCTGATAAGACGAACTACATAAGCCTAATTATCCGGATTACTCTTTAGACCTATATAGTTTCCACTTGGGTATTTAAGAAATTTCGTACCATCATTTCACATCGCATCAATTAATTTAACTGCCTGTTTACCTTTTTCTTGTGAGCTAGGTTTGAAAGGCTTAATGATGGCGGCCATGTTAGCAGCACTCATGAGCTCTTTGACGTCCGTCTTCAACAGTGCCAGCTCTATCATTACGTTGGATTTGTGGGTCAAAGTGCGACCTCTAGCGACGGAAACAGAACTAGTCATTGTTGGCAGGTAGCTGAACTATACAGATTTGGAAACGTTGAAAATTCGTTACCTTTTTGAAATCTCGGACGTCATAATAATATGGGGGCGCTATTTTGTTCTATTTCGTGACAGTTCATTAAAACGATAATGAGTCATGGTTATCCAACAGCAGTCAAACATCTCCAAACTCAGGATATTTTTTTTCCACAACTACATTCTCTTACCTAGGTTGTGTACCCTGATCTTGGCAGTGTTGAGCATTCTATGGCTGCCTTTGATTCAACTCTTCGGTTCGGGTCAGCTCTTCGTCTACATCCAGTCCATATCGTCCTACATGTCACCACCGATCTTCGCCGTCTACACCACCGGGATGTTCTCCGAAAGGGTGACCGAGCAGGTTGGTACAATTGTGAAGGGAATATTTTGAGGGTCAGTTTTGGTAGGTTGGGTATGCCCAAGAATCTACTACAGTTAAGCTTGTTTGTAGTTGTATTGATACTATCTTAAAGACTATTATTGGTTTCTTTTACTTCTTCTTCCAGGGTGCTTTCTGGGGCTTATTGCTTGGCGAAGTTATTGGCTGCACTTGGATGGTTCTCGATTTTGTCTTCATAGCGCCCCCTTGCGGTGGGGTGGACGAGCGCCCTCTAGCACTTCAGAAAATACATTATCTGCATTTCGCTCTGATGAACTATGCAGCTACAGTGTTGTTTATCGTCGTCATTAGTCTCTTGACGAAGAGGATTCCACGAGATAAGGTGAAATTTGGTGAAATGACGTGAGTGCTGTGAGCTAGTGGTGATAACGAGAGAGAAATGTGATTTTGGTGGTGATAAGGCCTTTGTGGTGATGCCGGTGTGGCAGGTAATTCTGTCCCCCTGGTAAATGTGTCCCCCCGGACAGATCTACCGGGTCGTGACCCGGTAAATCTTTCCGGGGGGACACTTTTACCTAGGTAAACCTGCCCCCCTCTAGTTAAATCTGTCCCCCCTGCACGACGTTAAATGTGTCCCCCCTGGTAAATGTGTCCCCGTGCAACGTCACAAGTCTAGCACCCAGACTGTATATTAGTGACGTTATTAACTGTTTTTGCACGGCGCCTTGCTAAATTCGGGAATGGTGCTTACGTCAAAGCACAACTCCCGTTTGGATGACGACTTCGGGAGCGAACGATTTGCATGGTGGGCGTGCGCGCGAGTGTACCGCACCTACGGGCCGCGCCAGGGCCGCGGCCGGGGACGGGGACAACAGTGCACCAGCAGCAGGCCTGCGGCGCGGTGACCCGTCACGCGTATAATTTTGCCAATTCTCCTCATTGAAGTCCGCCATGACAGTCGCACGCGTATCGGCGGCTGATGATGCGCGTGCGCGCGCTAGCGATAGATTGAGTATTACTACGCGTGCCTTCTTGCAGAAACATAGATCGGTTGATTAACATCTAAACGTTAATTTCATTTTGATAATTATTGATGAAGGGTGGAACAATCTAAAAATGTATACCTGTGCGCTGAATTTATTATAATAACATCAATATAACAACTTATGCGTGCAAAACCAGGGGGGACAGAATTAACTGGAGGGGACAGAATTACCTGGAGGGGGACAGAATTAACGGGACAGGGGGGACACTTTTACCTAGGTAATTCTGTCCCCCCGGACACTTTACCGGGTGACAGAATTACCGTCCACACCGGTACCATTATGGTGATGATGATGTTTTTTAAAAGGTACGGTAGAACGATACAATGAATGGATTATCATTTGTGGATTATGTACGTAAACTGATTTGAAACATCTTTTGTAACAGCTGATAAGGCTGACTTGGTGGACTAGGAAAAGTGAACTACCCCGAAAACCCATTTCAGAGAAGGAGAACGAGAAAAACTGGGAACGAGAACTCAAGAAAAGAGAAAAATCTGCAGCAGAACATACAGGTATTACCAAATAAATCCTCAATTGATTAAAGTTCATGAAACCATTACATCTCCCATTTATATATAATTCAATTTTGAACTGGACTTTGTTGTTGCCCCCACCCTTTCACATCTGAAATTATTGCATAATGATGAAATTTCGTAGATGAACCGCCGTCTGGTCTCCGCCGCATCTGGAACTTTGTATGCGGCATTGAATCGTCGCCTTCAGATGAACCGACACCAGACGACAAAGAAGCAATGGAGAAACGGATGACGTCATTGGAGGAGGATCCTAAGTGGGCCAGAGTAGTCAATGTGGTCTGCCTGGTCGTTCTTTTCCTTGGATTTTTAGCATTTGGATTATTTGCATGATGAAGGCAGTTAAATTTCAACTTAATTAGTGAAATGATAAAAAGTAGCCACGGGTTTTGTTGTTACGCTTAAGAGGCATCTTGCTCAGCGTACATGAAAACCATACACGGTAAAATAAAGATCATATCAATTACATGATATTTTGAAAAGCATTAATCCCTGTCTTTTAACCCTGATATGGCTTGAATGGTTGTTCACGGGGCCAGGTGAAGAAGTAACAAAAAAATGACAAAAAATGCAAACAGTTATTTTCTCTTATAGTGCATTTATTATGACATTATATGACTTTTCACGGTGCAACATTAATTACATTTTATTAAACATGATTTAATTTACATTATTATGCATTGCTCCAGAAACATGTAAAGCCCCCCCCCCCCCCCCGAGCGAATCTGTTTAAATTGCATTGAGAGAGGTTTGGAAAATTGAGAATGTCGACGCCCTCTGGGGGAATAATGAATACTGACATTTTATGCTCGGATAGGTTTTCAGTTTTGTATAGTTTTTTTTTTTCAAATGGAAATAACTATGGCCCTTGTCAAGTTTCCGACTGTTCCTAAAAAAATCAATGGGATCTAGTTAGCAATGGAATTTTCAGACCTGTTTTAAAACTATTACATTGTGCCCCATGTCTGATAGAGTACGACACATTAGAGTTTGTTATTAATTGGTTGTTCATTACTTTGAAAAAAGAAATCATTATCGAAACAATAAACCCATAAACTTATAAATGCAATTTGCTTATACAATTATACGACTTAGAACGATTGTTCATACCTACCATCCATTCTCACTTTTGAACATGTCGTGCAAGATGTTTATCAACAAACTGTCGCGCTTTATTTAAAAAACATCTACGGCAACTATCACAGCTACAAATATGTAATTAATTTATGTTCACATTTCCTGCAAAATAGAAACAAAGAAAACTAAAAACCTTCTCTTCTACCTTTTTTAATTTCTCAGCTAATTATTCCCGATTCTTTCATTCTCGTTAAAACTGTAATAAACATGATTAAAATTCACAAATCAGCAAAATGAAAATAAATTTAACTAGAATGATACAAGTATTTTTAAAGTCTTTTCACCAAAAACAAGAAGATCATAGTAATTTATACCGCCATAAAAACGTATCCGGTGCGACTGTTTTTTCCCTAGAAATTTCTAGCAATTTAACTAACATTAGTCACATTTTTAGTCATTACCTCAAGTTCATTTTAATTTTCTTTCTGTTTTATTTTTACGTACACGTAAAATCCAGAGTATTATACGAATACTTTGTTCGCAAAAAAAATAAAAATAAAAATCAGTTCAAAAATAAATGTGTTAAATGTGCATGTGCAGTTGAACGCGAAATGTGCCGAAATTAACACTTGTGCAATAAATTAACACTTTAATTATTGTATCTTTCAGCTGTTTTCCATTCTATAAATTCCAACTTTGGGGCTGGGGAGCAACTCAGCTCCACCTTGGTATCATTGATTTCGAGAATGATTTTGTTGGAATTACTCAGACCAATAAACGTTTGATTTTAATACTCGATTTCTTCAGAGATAACATTTCTTTCCAGGAACTCCACACAATACCATCAGAAGCTGGATCACCTTGTGTTTGGTAGTACATGTACATGCCATTGAGATTTGAATGATAGCAGTTGTCATACCACCATCCTCCTTTAGAGAATTCAGCACAGTTGTAAACGCCATTGTCGTTGTCCTGATCTTTCGTTGTGAAATACTTACCATTGTGACTGCTCAATGAGTCTCCCGCCGTGCTGTTTGCAATGTATGAACCGACCCAGAGTTTATATTTATCGCCGAGAACTTGAAATTGTCCGTAATCTGCGTAGACCGCCACATTGTCCCAGTCCTCTAAATCGACCCGTAGCTGCCAAGTTCCCTTCTCAGTCAGATTACGCAAGATGTCATTCCCGATCCAGAACTCACCAGACAAGTCGCCGAAGCCTACCTGGTAGTCAGCCCAGTCGCGGTAGAAGTCCACACTACCATCTTGACGCCTCTGAATGACGATCCATCCTCCGCCGTCAGTCTCCATGTCGCAGTAGACCTGGAGACCATGGCTGAGTGCAGTAGGATAGATTGTGTAGATACCACTCACAACATGGCCTTCCATTGCGAAATCTTGGCAACTGTGAAGTAATACAAACACTATGATTAAGTTATGGTATAGCAATTACGACGACGATAAACGAGAAATTTGTGAGGAAAACACGCAGGAATTTACAGGAAGAAAGTCTCTTTGTTTATTCGGCAACGTTAGACTCTAAAAGTTGTTTATTAATTCGATTTCGATATCCTCAAGAAACGCATAAGGGCCTATAGACTTTTAGCCTAAATGATGTTGAGTCTCTGCTCTCGAACATCGTACAAGCCGACACAAAAAAGTGCGAGATTGAGCGAATGCACCGATTGGTATACAGTGACAACTTGACTGACAAATTACTGTATATTATCCGTTTACTCATTTACCTCCTTTTAATCCATGCATTGTCGACAAGCACGCTAGGTTGGATCTCTGTTGAAGAAATGCTGCAGTCAACCTACGAGAAAAAAAAATTAAAAGTAAATTCACTTGTGTGTTCAAGATAATCTTTTTTCCTCCACAAAATAAAAAATGTAAATCCATATGCATTGTAATTTAATAACGCAATCCGCAAAAGATATACTCCGACAGAATGGAACATAAGAAATTCATTTCGTGTCCTTTTGTTGTCTTGCGGAGAAGTAATTGCGATTTTTTCTTCCAAAAGTTAAGTAGAGACAGTATATACCATTTCAGCGAATTGCTCATAGACAGACGCTTCGGCAACTGTTTCGAGTGTTCAAACGACCAAATCGTTGAGGGGTATTTGGACGCTTGGAGGCGTTCCATACTGACTAAATTCATACATTTTAAATCCGATAATCTTGTGGGATGCGGATCAACCGTTTTGCTAGAGAATCCAGATGTAGATGTAGATGTAGATACTTGTAGTGCAAGTACTCATGTCTGGGAAGTTAACCCTAAAAGGGCCGGGGCGGAATCCGCCCCCACCTCAACATTTTCCGCGATAGCTTTGAAATTTTTTTTCGCGGCCCGAGCTGTTATGACTTTTTAGCCTCGAGCCTTGCGCATCTTTTGAAAAATTTTCCGGTAAAAACTGAATTTTCCCATATTTGTACACAGAGCAAAATTACTATTCGTACATATGAATAATTACTTAGCCATAATTCCAAAACCCTTTGACCTATACATGTAGTCATGAAATTTCTTGGGTATGTTCATGATGAGTCGATCGTTTACCGAGTTTCAAAATTTTTCGTCGCTCGATGGCCGAGATCTTGGGGGGGGGGGCGGAATCCGGCCCCACGGCTGAGAGATAGTCAAAATAAACCGGCCCTTTTAGGGTTATATAAGGACCTATTTAACAACCAAATTAAATCTTTTTTTATGACGTGGTATACAGTTATCGACCTTAAGCAATGCATGTTGCATTTGCACTAGTATTGCGATCATCGGGTGTAGGCCTATATGTGTTTGTTAGTGAGCGCGTAGGCCTCTGTGCGCGCAGGGTATTGGGATTTTCCGCTCAAAACGTCTCGCAATAAAACGTATGCGTAATTCTTCTTAAGACGAAACATTTAAAACTTACAGTCGATTCATTGAACGCGTAGAAACTGCCAGATCTCATCTTCAGCCTCCGAGTGCCGTCCAAGTGCGATGCATTGTTGAGAGCACACTGGCGTGTCTTTAATACGTAGTTAGTGGACTTACATGATGGATGATCAAGACACAGATTGAAGCAGAGTTTCTGCGTCTTCGCGATGGATTGACTGAAACTTGGAGAAGCCAAAGCATAGTCGACATACCCACACATGGGTTGGCCACCGAAACTTGTGTGAGCAAACGCAAAGGCTACCATTAGTGCAATGGGAAAAGTTTTCAGATACCGTGACAATCCGGTGACGAACATTTTGAAAGTCGGGAAAAATTGCCAATTTTGTTGTCTCTCGATCAACCGCCACACAAGGAGTGATATATAGGCATCTCATTATCTCAGTGAAAGAGTCCAGACGTGCACAAATTTGATTGGTCCATCCGTTCCTACCTCAACGGTCCATCTCACATCACTCAAGGCGCCGTTTCCTCCATCATATAGACAATCGATGTAAATTATCACAGGCGAGCGGTTTCACAACTGCAATAATGATATGCAACTTGCTGAAGTGCCAATTTATATAATGATCAATATTGCAACCTTGCAGTCTCACTGTATCGCTTGTTCATCAAACCAAGGATGACAAACAATATGAGACATCATGTATAGGCAGAAAAACACAACTGTGAAATAGCCATCTCTAGCAGAAGTAACTTTGTCCTAAATATACTTGCGCTCCTTGTGAAATTTAAGAAGAAAGACTAGTCTCGGTTTTATGGTCATCTATTGTTCCTCTGCCTGGCTATTGGTGCATAAAATAATGATCTTGGTATATAAAGTTAGCAGGCAGTGAAGTCTTCCACCATGGCTTAAATTCACCAGGAATGCTGGTCACTCTCAAGCATTTGTGTCCTTTCACATGATGATGGCCGGGAACTTTTGCAAGATTTCTAAAGCATGGGAAAAGGTCTCAAGCCTTGCGAGTTTTATGTGAAAATGGCTTACTAAATAGGTTTATTGCCTATTCAGAGGACTGGCTAGTCAGCACATTGTGACTAGCTTCACGCCCGCCTAAAATATACAATTTTTACGTTTAGATTCTCTGAAAAATACGGTATTTCAAGTGAACAGGCTATAAAAAGTAATAATTTGAATTTCCCAAGGTTTTAAGAAAGAGTACTTTAAAAAAATAGTATAAGGGCCTATATTCAAGAAACGGCATGCGGCAGCAAATCATCGCATTGTAGCCGTCTCATAGAATCCCATAACAAATCAGATAACTCAGACAATTTCCGAAAACAAAATAATGTAACCTATGTTTTTGTTGTTTATACCAGTCCTGTTTAAACCCATAAAAGAGAACGCGTAAAAAATCACTACAAAAGCCCTTTTAAAAACATTCAACATGTGATACAACCCGAATGCACCCGCATTCATCTCATGCTGAAAGCATCTAGTAGCACAGCTAGTAGCACACCGATCTGTATTGCCCACAAATGTCAAAAGTTCATGCATGGGTACGGGTACTTTGCAGGGACTCACCTAGTCTTGGTTGCAAGACGTTACTATCTGCGTTGTTTGTGTACGTGTGTAATCATACTAATGAATACTTTTGTAAAACAATTGTTTTCAATCAACAGAGGGCGCACTACACAGGACCACAGCGCGCATATTATACGGACGATATATTTATACGCGGTACTAAGAAAGTGTATTTAGGACATGACCAAAAAAAAAAATTCCGGCCCTCTATTTCGCCCGGGCGGATTACTATTTCGCCCGGGCGGATTACTAATTCGCCCGGGCAGACTACTAATTCGCCAAGGCAGATTATTAATTCTCCCGGCCGGGCAGACTACTAATTCGCCCGGGCGAATTAGTAATCCGTCCCGGCGGGGCGAAAAAGTAATTCGCCCGGGCGAGTTAGTAATCCGCTCGGGCGAAATAGTAATCCGCCCGGGCGAAATAGTAATCCGCCCGGGCGAAATAGAGGGCCGGAAATTTTGTTTTGGTCATGTCCTAAATACACTTCCGTAGAAAACAGTCATGGCTGGCGCGAGTATAGAATCTTTGCGACATTTGTCCGACGATGCTGATTATTACGTGACAGCCTTAGACTTGTACAATCGTGAGAGCAGACGGGTGCAGAGGATTTGCGAATGGGTGGATGGAAACCTGCATGCAATGGCTACTTCTATGGATGTTACACTGCAGAAGGAGGATTCATTCAGCGTGCTGAGTGTCGGCGCTGGAGATGGTAAAGTAACGTTCCCCATATTAATGCTATAGGTTGTGAACCTGTTGCTGTCCCTACCTCCATGATTTACCTAACTCAAAAAGGGTAATGATACTTATAGCATGGAGGTAGAATTCTACCTCCATGCTTATAGCGACCATAGCTCCATGTAGCGACCATCCCCACACAGTAGTTGACTCATGCACTAAATTTGTACTCTCTATGAACAACTTTGCCCTGAATTTGTGCAATAAACCACGGACACTCTGTGCGTGGGGCCCTGACCTTGTGTAAACACAGCCCACACATTCATTGCGTGATAACAGTTCAAATGGATCGGGCCATGGGTGTACACATGTACATGTACACAGTACATGTACATGTACATGTACATAAGCCCGGTTCATACTCGGCGCGAAAGCGACTCGGGAACGCGAATTTGTCACGTGATGGCAAGTATTCGCGTTGCGAATTCGTAAAAGTTGAACATATTTTAACTTGGGCGAATTTCGCAGCGAATCTTTCATGACGTCCAATTCGCTTCGCATTCGCGTGGAGTATGAACCGGGCTGTAGTGCACAATACATTTTTTAAAGTCAAAAACTGTTCAGCTATATGAAGTTTCAATGTAAAAGTACTCATGTTTTCTGCAGCACATCAAACAATGGTCTGTATACAAGATTTAATAAGCAAACTACTTAAAAATGTGATACGTATATAGACTGCACTATAAAGGCGAGATAACGCAATCCATGCACAAATACACCCCTCTATGAACTAATATGCTATGGTCCGACAAACATGAACTGCAAAAAGACTTGTTTTGCCGATATCCAGAGGATGTTATGAAAATAACAGAAAACCTATGGTATGAAGGCATATTCATGCACTGGAAAATGTAGTTTGAAGGCGTTGAATTGGTGAAAAACGAACTATCAAGAGGACACAACGAACAGTTCCAACGGTGCTTCTAATAATGTCGGCGAGCCTGAACGCGTGGCCTGACCTTGTTCCCCGTTCAACCTTGAACCTACCAATACACGCGTGGTTATTATGCATGGAGCCAGACTACAGAGACACGTTGCATAAGAGTAAATACAAATGTATAATCGGATTATGGTCCAGAGAAGAGACGTTCCATGATTGGAAGCAAAAAAAGCCCCTTCGTCCACTCTTCCAATCAAAATTATTCTTATAATGTGTGGAAAGGAAATTTCATGTAGTTTATTCAGAAGTGCGAGTTGAGTCTGTGGGACAAAGAGAACGACTGTATTGATCATTTTCCGGTGGGTTGTCTCACACAATTGAACGGTTCAATTGTATGAGACAACCCACCGGAAAATGATCAATAATCGTGTTGACTTCCATTGACTTTGCCGATTTTGATGTTTTACGCCCGTTTTTGGATTGAAAAAAGCCCCTTTTCCCCGTGCATCATATATCTGTTATAAATAACAATTCTACAGGTAATAATCTGAACTTCCAAATGCGTAGCGAGTTGGTTAGAAACATAGACGTACTTTCTTTTTACCGACAAAAGTTTGCAACGAGGGCTCTGTTTTCGTGTCATTTTTATGAGCAGATGCGCGCAAGTTGTTCATAAAAGGGAAAAAAATATTGCAACCTGACGCCACTTCCGCGATTGTGTACAAAGTCTATGGAGAGTCAAGAAAATGTTTCGAGTATTTCCTAACAAAATTGGAAACGTTTCTCGGTCCCAGATTCATTGAGTTGATATATGAAGATTAATTGGCGTCACGTTGCAACATTTTTCCCTCTTAAGTTTTGGGGAGGGAGCAGTAGACTAGAGCTTATGATCCGAGATGCAAATTTAGTAAATCTATCATAGTGACATGGATACAAGAACATGTACTCTTGTCTCCTAACAGGCATAGTTGACCACAGAATCTTGGGCCATCTACGAGACAGCGCGCATCCTCAGCTTCGCGCAGTCATCTTGGAACCTGACTCTCACATGATGCAGCAGTACCAAGACCTAGTCAGCAAGGAGTCTACCAAACTACAAGGTGTGGACCTTGACTGGAGACAGCAGACATTTCAGGAGTTTCAAGCCACCGCCAAGGAAGATGATAAGTTTCATTTCATCAGCTGCATCAACTCCCTCTACTATTGTGGAGACTTGGAGAAGTCTCTCAAATTTCTTTACGAAAAACTGGATAGTGGAGGGCTTTTGCTCATTACGATTCTGTCAGGTATTTTATACTATAACATTATACTAATATCACGCTACTTTGAGGTATTCATAGCGCTAGCTTGACGTTGCTACATTTATAGAAGGCGAAAATGCAGGCATACATTTTGATCTCTTTTTCTGTGATGTTGGAGTTGGGATGGGGGCTGTGAAAGTACATACTTTCGTGTTGGTGGCTTAATCGTGATGTATTGATGGACGCAATATGCTTGCCAATATTAATTTTATGGTTGATGCCACGTCATGTACTTATATGAAAGCTTTTATTCCTTTTCGTTTGAGAACGACATTCCTTTAATACATTTAAGAATTCCCAATTATTGATGTCTTTCAGCTTGTGTTGGTGATTTTATGACAAGTAATTTGTTTATATATTTTGTTTGATTTGTTTCTTTCCAGCGGAGGGAGGACTAGGGAAACTGTGGCAGCACCTCTCTAATACGTCCATCAGCCAGAGACAGTTCACATCTTGTTACCTCCAAGAAACATGTAAGAAGCAGAACATACCAATAGCAGAGATGCAAAAGATCAGCATCCAGTGCGACATTTCCCCCTGCTTCGATCATCAACTCTCCCAAGACGGGAACACCCTTCTTGATTTCCTGACCCACACAGTCAACTTCGCCCAGAACGCCCCGGCCGAGTATCGAGACGATGTACTTCGGTTCTTGGGGAGTCCAGAGTGTTCGGTCCGAGGATCAGGGGGCAAGGTCATCCTGGATGCAAGCAATGTTGCTGTTCTTATACGAAAGCAGTGATGGAATGCACACAAGTCACTGTTCTATTTTGTGTAATTTCACAGATTTGTTATTGAATCAACCACAAGTCAATTTTACTAAACAGTATGTTGTTTGTGGATGTGGTGAGGCTATACATTGACTTACTGGATGGTACCGGGGTATTAAAACCACTTCTGATTATAGTATGACATTTTCCTCCTTTTTGTACTATCACCATCGGTTTTGTGTAGATGAGTTTGTCTCCCCGATATTTTGGCTCACCTGTAAAGTGTCTACTGCCAATTTCTTTTTTTTTTTTCTAAACGCTAAAAGTTTTATTTTGTTCAAGGATAAGAGTATTGCTGCACGTATTCATCAAGGTGGTAAATTTAGTTGTTTACATAAAGATACATGCTAATTACACTCTTTATTTTTCAGTAACCGTAAATGCTTGTTGTAAAAATGTAATAATTTGATTTTGTGTACCCGATAAATGTCTCTACTCCCAATGAGCCTCCACAAAGTTCGTTATTTGATAACTTCATGCGCATGCTGACTTTTGGGACACTTATTTATACTTGGCCAAAGCATGCATGAAATCAACACGCAAAAGTTATCAGAACTCATGAACTATAGGACTATCACTTTTATTAATCCTGGCCATCTTAATTTGGGTTTTGTTCTGTTCTTGTTTTGTCTTATTTTGAAACAACAACCTTGCCTTGTTATCATTGCTGCCTTTATTCATACCTCCTTGCTTTTGTTCACACTTATTTGTATTGTTTCATGACTTCTTATACTTGTACTCTTGTCTTCTGTAGAGTTACATTGTCATATTCTCTGCATATGTTTGTTGCAAATCTTGGCCGAATAAATAATAATAATAATAATAATAATAACCACTAACTTGTACTCCATTGAGTCGGCGGGGCAACACGCACGGACTCAACAGAAGCTGGTGCTATTCATACTTTGTGTTTTGTCCTTGATTCGATTATAATCTTAACAAAGATTGCACGATTAAATCCGGCTTTACGAGCCCATGCATTGCCTCTTCAACCATCGGTTGACCGCCACCGGACTCTGCTCCGGCCGTTCGCTCTTTTCACGCTCCGCCATTGGGCATGCACAGCGTCGACCTTGCAACTTTACCATTACTGGACCAAGCCCAGTCTAAAGTGGCTTTCTTAGCTGTTGGTAGCTTTCCAGCACTTAACTGGCGCATCACTCATCACTCAAATTCTGATGGGAGGCAGGCTGGCTCTAAACAACAGACGCATATACATTGGGGATAGCCTGAGTGCTTATCAAGAATATATTTATGGTCATCAACTGATTAAATAGCCATTATCTTAGTAGGGGGCTCATGAATACGAACCCGGGATTCACGGGTTCGCGAAAGCCACATTAGACTAGGCTTGGTCCAGTAATGACAATAAAAATAGTTTAGTGATCTGAACCCTGACACGGGAATCACTGGAACCGGCTATATATTTATTGTGTAAAGCTGCCTGATCGAGGCACTGCATGCCCATTACAGTGCGAAAGTGTGAAAAGAGCGAATTGCTAGTGATACTGACAGACCTAGCTACCCGCACCCCACCATGCAGCTGCAAGATTTGTCTTCGAGTGGCGACTACTACATCACAGCGATAAAGGTGTATCGCCAAGCTAGTGGTTGGGGGAGACTTTGGAAAGTGATCGATTGGATGAATGAACATTTACCTGCATTAGTTGGTTCCCTTGGCTCTTCTGCAGTCGTCGATGGTGGCATTAATATGCTCAGTGTGGGAGCAGGGTGCGGTATGTTTAGTTTACACAGTCATAAACATTATGTTTACATTACTTGTTTGTTTCCCACTTTTACACGTACCTTTTCACGGGGGGGCTCATTTACTGGTAGCGATCCTCATGATACGTTTTAACAATGAAAGCTTATTGTTTTCCCCAAAATTTTGAACGTAATAATGCAAAGGGGAGGCATACCTTGAACTTGGGGGGGGGGGTGCTCCCCCCCCCCCCCCCCCCCCCCCCCGTTACCCCACATGCTCCACCAATACGGATAAAAGGCCGATACTTGCTAATTCATCATTTGAACTATGATTCTTGCACAGGTACTATCGACAGTAAAATTCTACATCATCTTCTAGACAGCGCGCATCCTAAGCTTCGCGCAGTCATCTTGGAACCTGACTCTCACATGATGCAGCAGTACCAAGACCTAGTCAGCAAGGAGTCTACCAAACTACAAGGTGTGGACTTTGACTGGAGACAGCAGACATTTCAGGAGTTTCAAGCCACCGCCAAGGAAGATGACAAGTTTCATTTCATCAGCTGTATCAGCTCCATCTATTACTGTGGAGACTTGGAGAAGTCTCTCAAATTTCTTTACGAAAAACTGGATAGTGGAGGACTTTTGCTCATTACGACTACGTCAGGTAATTTAGCATTATAGGCATATGCCTTTTACATGCACAGATTTTAGACTCATATACAATTAAATCTTGCATAAACCAGAATCTTAGGAACAATGTCAGTATCTCATTTTAATGTCGAAATTAATCTGATACAACCCTGGCTATTATAGTAACGTATATTGAGCTGGAGTACTCGTGTCAGTACAGTGGCCAAACTGAAGATGAAGCCGAGGTTTCGAAAACTGCGATACATCTTCCACTAACTTAAAGCGCGCCCTCAATTAGGACCACTTGCTTTCACATTCGTGTATTATGGTAAATCAAATCAGTGTAACATTGTTATAATGTTTTAAAACACAGCTTGGGTGATTCCTTTGTATTGCACCCACCCCGTATTTTTTCCCCATTTATTTTTGGAAAATAATGTAACAAGTTAAAAGTATGTTAGGGTACAATCTTTACACTGTAGGGAGAATTGCTCACCCGTGCAGAAAACCCATTACTCGTTACCATATAACGATTAAAAAAATAATAATAACTAGAGGTTGTAGGAACAACCCCACGGTGTTGGGCCATGGACTACCGCAAACTTTGCCACACACATCAACTCAAAATATGCATGTTTAAATCCATGTTTGACTTTTTCAACATGCCGCCAGAGGGTGCTCTAACATTTGATGACGTCTATGGTAAAAATGTTGTACACGTACTGTCTAGGCAGACACTCACATCGTTGAAAGCAAGTTCGCATCAATTTCAAATAATAAGGCACTTCCGGTTTCGACCGATTTTTTTAGCAATTTTTGAAGGTTTAAAGTTCTTTTATTGTAACTTCCGATCTGATGACGTAATCAATTTTTTTTTCGCGCATAGGTCTTGTATGCATGAGTTGAGTTGATGTGTGTGGCAAAATTTGCAGTAATCCATGGCCCGACACCGTGTGGTTGTTCCTACAACCTCTAGTTGATATTGCTTTTACCTTGTATTATTAGCTGACAGCGGTTTTGGAAAACTGTGGAAGTATCTGAGCGTCAATCTGGCTAGAGAAGGGGAACACCTGATGTCTACAGACATCCAAGAGGCGTGCTATAAACTGAACATTCCTATCGCAGAGGTTCAGACTATCAAGATATATTGCGATATCTCATCATGCTTCAATGCTCCCCCTCATCAACTCTCCCAAGACGGGAGCATCCTTCTTGATTTCCTGACTCATATCGTCAACTTCGCCCAGAACGCCCCGGCCGGGTTTCGAGACGATGTGCTTCGGCTCTTGGGGAGTCAAGAATGCTCGGTCAGAGGACCAGAGGGCCAGGTCAACCTGGACGCAAGCAATTCCATTTTTCTCATCCGACGAGAGTAACGAAAAACGTTTCATGTCTACATCAACAAGAACCACCGGTGTTATTTTATATTACGCGTTTTCTTTTTTGACAAAAAATACTGACTGATTTTGACAAAATGTAGTACATGTATATACATGTACCTCTATACGAAACAAGTAGTTTTTTTTTTTTTAGCATTACTTTGTCAAAACATTTTCCTTAATGGACTGAAAGAAATAAACGTAGAATAAAGGTTTATGGTGTGTGGTAATGTTGTAGGTTCTAAATTAATCAGTACAATTTTGTCACAATTATGATTTGTCAAGAGTTTGAGGGGCCATGACTTTAAGCACGGCAATCGCCCAGCCTGTCGTTAAACTGGAATAGCGCCCTCAAGTCGTTTTTTCTTGTTTGGTCTGGCTCGCTGTTAAAGAACTTGTACTTACATGTATTTTATTCCTCCATTATTAAACCAGTATCCCAAATGGTTGAACTAGTTTACAAGGAAAGAGGAAGGAAATAAAAAAGCAAAGCCTTGGGAAATGAGTTTGACTTTTGTTCATTATAAATGTTTTACTCGCTTGTTTGATTGTACATTCCAATCGAGCTGAATATTTCCTAAAAATCACGATTCTGTATGTCAGTTATAAGCTCAGTAATGGGTTGCATCTGCAAGAAAAATATTTGATTTTTTTGACTTGAAATAATGATTCTTGTAAGAAACCTTTGGCCTCTCCGACTTTAAACGCTTGGCGGCGTCTGCCACGACGCTTGCAGCTCGAACTGTCGCCGATAACCGTGACGTCACCAGTCTAGCTGACAGACGCATCACTGCCCGAGTGCAAAAGTTCAACAAATAGGGCGAAAAAATCCTTCATGAATCTACAATTTTCCGTTTCCGAAATCATCGGGTTTCATTCAGAATCTGTTAATTTTGATTTCTAAACTATATAAGACAATTTAATTTGATTAGGAATGCAGAGAAACGCGGTAAAATGGATAAAACGGTTGCGCGGAAGGATAAGTTGTGTATTAATAACGCCAACAGTGACAGTCTTCCTGTCGCCAAAAATACTACACAGTGCTGCAATGTGTACACATGTACATGATGTGTATTATACGTAGCGCTGGGGGTATTATCGCTGTATGTAGTATCATGATAGTCGTACACGTATTTGCGCTGTGTGCACTATGAATGCAATGAAGGTACGTGCACATGAAAATGAACTAAGTTACTTACAATTTACACCTTTACGAAGTGCCAGAAATATCTGTTCAGTCAAGGTGTTTGACTGCCGGCATCCTGAGGAATAGTGGAATTAACGTGAGTGGCTCGGTGTTTGTTAATGGTGAGTAGATGCGTTCTTGTCACGATTTGTCAGAAAAATAAATTTCTGAATTTGTGAGCTGCACGAATTGGGCAGCCATTTTGATCGAGACAGAACTCGTGTTTATAATGAAAATACCGCATGGTAGACTTAGAATTGTGTAAATCTAACCTTTTCCTGTTTACTCGAAGTGATTGTTAAATTTCCTATTGAGTTTAATTTTTACTATAAATATTCTGATTACGCAAATTTCCTGACACGATTTGAAGGAGACATGCCGTTGAAGTTGAACGGCGATCGTGAAGTGTAGGGCCCCTGTTTTGTTTTGAACAAATTAGAGTCAAAAATGTGTTTATTGATAAAAAATGACCACAATCAAAACCAGATTTTTCTCAATTCTAATGACACCCGTGTTGCAATTTTGAACAGTTTCTTGGGGTAGAAATCACGATTTTCCTGCGCGCACGCGCGGTTTGTGCCTTGCGATTCAGCGTGCTGTGCGTGTTGAGCAGTTGATAGCCCCATAAATGTGGCCTATTTACTGGACTGCCTCCGTAAACATAGGCCACACATCCACATGTACAAAAATCGTGTCGACGGAGCCAAATTTTGATTTTCACATTTAGGCTTAGTTTGTAGGTTTTTTTTGCTTTAGAAGCATACTCACCCTCTTTATAGGCTAATCAGAAAGTGCTGCCTTTTTCAGATGTATATTTTTCGTGAAATTTCCAGATTCATTTTTACACGTTTGCGTATCAAAATTTCAACATGAAATTTCACAAAAATTAGACATCTGAAAAAGGCAGCACTTTCTGATTAGCCTGTAAAGAGGGTGAGTATGCTTCTAAAGCAAAAAAACCCTACAAACTAAGCCTAAATGTGAAAATCAAAATTTGGCTCCGTCGACACGATTTTTGTACATGTGGATGTGTGGCCTATGTTTACGGAGGCAGTCCAGTAAATAGGCCACATTTATGGGGCTAAGCAGTTGAGTACATGTAGCCCTCATAAATTGCAGCTCGGCTGGTTGTGACAGGTCACATTCAGTTAAGTTCAGGCCAATCATGGAGGAATAAAAACGCACCATACGACATGATCATTTCGAAACCACGAAAGATCAAAATTCTGAATTCATTCACCATGTTCACCTTACTGCACTTAAGCCATATTCTTACTTCTTGGTTCTTAATTGTTCTTGGTTGGTTCTTCTCCTAAATACTCCACGTCGGAGTTTATACAGGATGCCAGAAACACCGGGGCAAACCCCTTCTCTTAGCAATAAGTGTTTAGGCCTAGTACTGGGTTCTTTTACGTGCACGGGACCTACGGCTTAATTAATGGTTAAGTGCCTTGCTTAAGAGCACAAGTGTCCGCCGGCGGGCTAGTACCCAGGTCACTGTTGTCTCTGAAACACCAGAACATGAGTCCGGTGCTTTTCCGCTAGGCCATGACACTCCATATAGTGTCATGGGGCATAGTCATCATGGTCATACAATTAAATACATTTTTGGGATTGTTTTGAAATTGAATGTCACAACAGTTTACATCCTGGGCCATATGTTGACCCTCTCCATTTACATTTCACTTCTGCAAGAGAGTTGAACCAGGGGTGGGAACCACTTAGGAAAAAATTCCATACTCGGACGTCACTTTTTTCAATTAATTTTCTAGCGCCAAAAGTTACATCTTTTATGGTTATTCCTCCACTTTCCCTCCTCTACTCTCACCTTCTCCTTTCCTTAATTTCTATTTATTAATCAGTCAGTTACTTCATCAGGATTCGACCTCTGACGCTTGCTTGATACACGAGACTCTTAACCGCTAGGTCGCGCACGATCGCTGTTGCAATAATCAATCTTTGGACGTATTTGAAGTATCCATTGAAATAAACTAAATATTCATGACAAAATAAATATTCATAATGACGTATTGCACTATCATTGGCAGGCTCATGCGACGTCATGGTTGTTGATGTCACGTGTAACGTACCGCTGTCTTTCAGCCACTACAATCAGTTTTGACCGGCTGCCTCAAGTTAGTTCTGCACGACGTATGCATCCAAAATGTGCACTAAAAACACATTTTGAGTAAAATTTTTTCGCCTTTACACAGCTTCCTGGATTTCTCTTGGTTCAAACGACAAGGTGAGGTGACAATTAATATGTTTGGCAGCAGATAAATTGACATCCGAGTATGGAACTTTTCCCAACACTTACGCAAACAGTGCAAATGTTGCCAATGATTTTGCATTGGCTGTGCACAAAAATATAGTGAACGTTGGCAATGTTTGCTTGAGTGGAAAGCACCCAACATACTTAAGAAAAGGGGCATGTGATTATGACACATTCATCTATGATGTGACACTTCAGTTCGTCAGTGACATGATGATGCCTTAATACTTTGTGGATACCTTGATGAAATATGTGTGCGCTTAGTTAGTACAGCTTTTCAACAGCTCCATTAGATTAGCCCATGCACTTAAAGGGAAAATACAACATTTGCAAACATCAAAAAATAAAACTACCAAATCATTTTGAAATACCTTGCTGGACCGTTAGTGAATGACAGTGTAAAGCATCCTGTAAAATCATGGCACCTGGTATACTGTCATTTTCAAGAAAAGTGGTATTTTTGTATCAATTTCCAACGCTGATCGGCCGACCAGCGTTGGAAAAAACTGGCTTTTTTTCTCCAAATACTGGCCCCAGTTGACCATCGCACTTGTTTGCAATCGATTACACACATATGAACGGGTACAAGCCAGCTAGACTGGTTCCCTGACCTAACAATTCCCCAATTTATGTAAACTGCTCTGTTTCTTCTTAAATGGAGTCAGGGAACCAGACTACAGGAAAATGATTGTTTTTCTTGGTTTTTATAGCATTTTCGAACCCAAAACCTCAAAAACGTCAGTGTGACTAAATTTGCTATATATTTCCAACCCCCCAATTCGATCCATTTCTGAAAATTACAGCAAAAGCAAATGATGTATATTCCCTTTAAAACATTTCCTGACCTACATTTGCTGAAGTTCTCCATATAAAACCTCGGATCATTGCCTCAGTGGATGAGTATGCAGCACTGCGACCCCGGAGTTGTCAACCCTAAGATTTGTGCATCAACATGTCTGTCATTTAACCTTGAGACACTAACCACTTAAGACTACTTGTACTTGTTCATCGTTAAGATTCAAATCACCTGCTGGAAAACAATTACCAGAACGGAAACGCTGTACAAGTTTGCACTTGTCTGCAAAAGATAGCGGATATGTCGCAAAGTGGTTAATTGGGCTGGGATTTACAAGTACAAGCTGAAGAAAGTGGCTTTGAACAAAGTACAGTAATTGACAGGATTTGATTAGTGCATCACCAATAAGCTGTTAACGTCTTCACATTATGTCCAATGTGCTGATGTCATCTCTTTTTCCTTGGCATAAAGCACCAGTTTGGGAACTTTGTTACTCACATTTTGGTTGTTACACTGTCAGAGTTAGAGGAATCTGCTGCTCGTTGGTAAGCAGTTTTAGAAAAGGTAATGACATTAACTTTGAAGTGTACTGATTTTAAAGTAAGTTCTGCAGATGCATGTGGATGAGCTAAGGTGTAACCTGGGCAACTCTTGGACCTTGGTAGTGGCTTTGTATGCTCATATTAAAATCAGACTTAGCTTTTCCTTTCTCCCCCCTGTTTTCACAGTTTTACCAAGTTGACCAGGGGACTTCAGTGTCATCTTAGTCATTGGTCAACAGTTGAACCACCAGTGCATAGACAGTAAGGAGTGATCAAGCTGGGTTGTCCACTAACAAGACAGTAGAGCAACCATGTCCATGGCCAGTCTGTTCTCCTTCACCAGCCCAGTGGTGAAGCGGCTCCTGGGCTGGAAGCAAGGAGATGAGGAGGAGAAATGGGCCGAGAAGGCTGTAGACTCACTCGTCAAGAAACTCAAGAAGAAGAAAGGTGCCATGGAGGACCTTGAAAAAGCCCTGTCGCGCCCCGGAGAAGCCAGCAAATGTGTCACAATACCCAGGTCACTTGACGGGAGGCTGCAGGTCTCGCATCGGAAAGGGCTCCCTCATGTTATTTATTGTCGCGTGTGGCGCTGGCCCGATCTGCAGAGTCACCATGAGCTGAAGGCGCTTGACGTCTGTGAGTACGCGTTTGGCAAGAAACAGAAAGAGGTTTGCATCAACCCGTACCACTACAAGAGAGTAGAAAGTCCAGGTAATTATTCGTCCAATTGTTTGCTTCCTTAAATGAACTTGTTGAATAAAATCACAAACTTGCATTAGTGCTGTGATAGTTCTTGAAGACCTCCAACAAGTTGTTCAAATTCAGATATTGTTTCTTGTAAAGCACATTAATCTCAACCAAAAACATCATCCTTGACCTGTGAGTTGAATAATATTTGTTTACATGCAAACATAAAATATGCATTGATGTTCCTCAGAAAATCATTTCCTCCTGATTGTTGAAAAAAAGATAATAGGCATCATGGCTGTGTTTGAAAAAAATCTAAGAAATCATTGAATTAAAGCGCGCAAGCAGTGAAGCCATATTGCACTTATAAGGGATTAATTAGGCTGAGTGAACCCTTTATTATTTCCCAAGCTTGCAACTAACCCATTGTCCAGTTGTACTGATCAACACACACTAGCTCCATTGGGAGCTAATCCCCCTTGGAGAAAACCATGAACTGCTATCAACCTTGGGCCTGATCAATGGAGCGTGAATTGGTGTTTGGTTGAATCATTACGAGTCCTGGCTGTTTCCTAGAATGGGTTAATACCGGTTCAGCTGTGTTTCCACATGTTGGGAGGAACATGGGGCATTGCACAATAACGACTGCTCTTAAATTAATATTGGAACTCAAAAAGCCCCATTGCTGGATTCTGACAAGATACAAGTACATGTAGCATGTCGAATAAGCTCACATGCTGTTTTGTAATATTTCATCCAGCATCCATTTTCTAATATTTAAAAAAAAAACATTATGATCACTGACCGCAATTTGTCTGTTGCATGAGTCACGTATTTTATATGGCAGCGTCAAGCTGTTTACTTCGAATAAGATCTGTCCAAATTCTTGGAAGTGATGAAGTCATGTCTTCAATTGAATCAATGATTGTAGATTGGACCCATTGCAAACGTTGCAATGTTTAATGCTGTCCATTGAGTTGAGTTGAAACCATAATTTCTGCACTTGGATCCTGCTGTGTACAGAGTGATGTATGAATGCACATGTGCCGCTCAATCAAATTAGGAAATTTAGGTATTTCTTGACTTTTCAGACTGATAAATCAGTCTTTATAAAGAGTTTGGGAAATGCTTGTGGCCAACCCCTGCTTGGCATATGAACCCTGCATTGAATGTGTCTGTGGGTGTTAGTTAGTGTCGAGCAGTTCATGCAGGAAATGAGTCACAGTGTTGGGTGCATTGTGTTATTGGGGGTTTGAGTGTTCTATTGTTGACAGGTGTTGACAGGACTGAGTGTGGGCTGAACATATTAAGCTGTCAAAATACCAGACACCAGATGCATGATTCATTTTTGTAATATGTGTTTTTTTTCTGCAAAATTGTTTTCTGCTGATGCTGGCGTCAGCTTTTGCTCTGGAAATATATTGGTCCTTCCTTTTTTGTCTCTTGTGGTCCGGGCATAAAAATCTGTGAAATTTAATTGAAATACTGTTAACAGTTGAATACAATGGCTTTAAATTTATTTTAATTATTTTTTTTTGGGGGGGGGGGAGAGATTGCATTTATTCAAAATATTCCTGCCAAATACAGTAAGACTTTTTCTTAAATCATTTTCCAATTGTTTCAGTACATTTTAGTAAATTGATTTGAGATTACTTCACACTTTTTAAAAATATTTTATACAATGAATCATGACCTGTTCTGGACATGCGCTGATATTTGCTGAATATGAAAGCAGTCTGGATGACCATTTCCATTGGATGGCAGACTGGTGTCGTGTTACACTTTGTGATTCAGGATCAATGATTCATTGGGCAACCGTGGGAGATACTTGTAGCGCAGCGGAAAGCGATTTCATGAAACTGTGGAAATGCTGAGATCAGGCTAGGCTTGAACCAGACGGGGCTCTGGAGTGCTCTGAAACGTGCAAAACTAAATCAGGCCCACTTTACTCACAGTTTAGCCAGCAAATTTCTCCAAAAATTCCACTGGGGCAAAGAAAATGTCCTCAGTATTTCACCTACCAAGTTTGCAGACTCAATTCAATTTTTAAAGGAGACTTTTCTTCAATATTTTGCACATGAGAGGGAAGTAAAGTGGTTTCAAAATGGGGCTAAATACTAGACTGGTGCATGTCCATCCATGGTCCAACTATTTGAAAAGACTGACCTCTTCATTCAGTGTCAATAGTCTGGTGGCTTGACTATGGAGAAATGTGTGAAAATTGAGACTAGTTCCCACTTCATGCCACATGTTTCTTAAATTCTTTTGGCATGGTTGATTGATGCAGGACTGAAGCTGTCTTGGACTGGTTGTTTTATAGGTGCCAGTCTATTTTCTTGTTTTGCATGTTTTCAATACCTTAAGTTTTGGGACTCTCATACACAGTATTGAGAGTCCCAAATTTTCGGACTAGGCTTGAACCAGGCTCACTAAAAGTCTAAAGATTGAGACAAACAAAAATATGGGCCTTTATTTGCATGTAAAGTGAATTCATGCCAGAAAATAGTGCGCCATGGTTTGCACCCGTACAGGCAGTTGTAACAATACCTTTGTTTACAGGAGTCGCTTGCTAGAGATTTCGCAAAAATTTTTGATTCAGAGATGATCCGTAAATGCATATAAACCACACAGCACATGTGAGAGCTCTCAGAGCAGATGTGCTGAATGCCCCTTTAACTTATTATAAAGAGCCTCATGCTAGAATTTCACCATGTCAGTTGCACCAGTTGTTAAAGGGAAGATACTACATTTGCAAACATCAAAAAACGAAATGATCAAATTATCACGAAATACCTTACTGGATTGTTAGGGACTGACATTCTAAAGCATCCTTTAAAATCGTGGCTCCTGGAATGCTGACATTTTGAAGAAAAACCGTATTTTTCCAACGCTGGTCGGCCGACCAGCGTTGGAGAAAACTGGCTTTTTTTCCAACAACTGTTCCTAATTTTTCATATTTAGTTATTCTGACTTTTCTTTGCAATTGATTACACACCTATGAAGGGGTACAAGCCTGCTAGACTGATTCTCTGACCTTACAATTCCCCAAAGTGAATTAATTGCTCCGTTTCATCTTAAGTGGGGTCAGGGAACCAGACTACAAGAACATGATAGGTTTTCTTGGTTTTATCCAGCATCTACAAGCCCAAAACGTGAAACAAGTCAGTTTAACAATATTTTCTCTAACATACTAATCCTCCAAATCCATTTGTTTCTGAAAATTCCAGCAAAAGCAAATGTTGTACATTCCCTTTAAGAGAGAAGCACCCAATAAAGGAAATAACAAGTGGCGATCAATATAAGATACAATCTTTATTGCAGATCCTTGTTATAAGAGCTTTACTTCCACATCCAAGGACCTTGTACAGACAGGCAGTATTGACATAAAGAAACTGTGAATATGTTTTGTTGGCATTGTGCAAAGTTCCCCTGCCCTAGTTCATGAAGGTGTAATTGTTGCATCCTGTCGCAAAGTGCCTTGTAGTTGTACCAGTTAAAGGCTTGTTTCAGGAAACCGGTGTCTGTCTGTGGTGTTCAGGGTATCACCTCTCAGGAAGCACAGCTCAGAGAAACAGGCAGCAATTGACCGCATTTCAACACTCCCTCTTTCCTGCCCTGCTTTCCTCTTAAGATCTTGGTTATTTTTAGGAAGGGATCAGGAATTACATTTCGGTTGCTTGTGACCCCAAGTGGAGGTACTTTGGATGGCATGAAACTGTAAGAAATAGATTTTGAACAATTTTTGAAATTTGTGATTAACCCCAACCACCTCCATCAAAATCCATCTCCCCATTTTGGTGGATGTTGGGGGACTTGGTCCAGAAGGCCTGGTGTGACTAAATATTGATCATGGAGTATGATGGACTTGGGCCTAATGGCCTGAAGCAGTGCTAGGGGTATCTGATTGATTTTGCCTAGCTTCCTGTACTGCTATTGTGATAAAAGCCATGTTTAGCAAGTCCATGAATGTCAACCAGTGTGTCAGTGCAGTGGTGGATTCCATTCTGTCATGTACAGTTTTGTATTGGACGCACAGTGATTGATGGATTTTGATGGACTTGGTCCAGTTCCTACATGTAGTAAAAGACACTAGGGAGTTGGGTTAAAGGAAAAACAGTGTTCTGGAAAGAAGATTGTGCAAAAGGTAAAATTTCTACTTTCTTTTGGGGATAAAAAAAAATGCATTTTATATTGTAAATGATAGACAGCATTTTATGAGCTTGAGTGCATTAAGAATTTAAATTGATGCCAGCAATTTTCTGTTGTACACAATCTCCATAATTTATCAGCAACTGAAAGTATAATGAGCAGCCCATGTATAGGAATTTTGGAATATCAAGTATCTGTGGTCTCTTCATTATTGGATTCATATGAGACACTCTTTGTGTAGGATTCAAAATGAGTCACAAAAAACGGAGATCTCTCTGTGTGTGAATATAAGGCCAGAGCCCCCAGGCTGATACAGGAGCAATCCTGGCAACACGTACTACTGTCTATTTGCTGGGCCAGGGTAATCAAATTTCTCACGTTAATCAAATGCCTCCCTTTATGCTTGGAGCTAGGGTGACGTCACCAGTACTTCAGTAAGTCTTGCTGAACAGTTGTCTTGTTTTGGTTTTGAACTTTGAAATTACCTCCTACCATATTCTGTCAGCTCAATAAACAGGACCCCTCATTAAAAAAAAAAAAATGGGGAAAAATGCGAGCAGAAAGTAATTTTAGAGCAAAATTTTAATCAAATTATAACAATAAATGAAGGTTGTATTTGATTTTGACTTGAGTTGGTACATATTTTAATCCTCCTTTCATTTTCCATCAAGCTAAAAAACAAAACAAACTCACTGTTTTACAAGTGATGGCACTCCTATGTATTTGTGCATGGCTATTGTGTAGACTTGATGTACATGTAGTTATATCATTAAAGGGAATATACATCATTTGCTTTTGCTGTAATTTTCAGAAATGGATGGAATTGGGGGGTTGGAAATATAAAGCAAATATAGTTACACTGACTTTTTGGAGGTTTTGGGTTCGAAAATGCTATAAAAACCAAGAAAAACGATCATTTTCCTGTAGTCTGGTTCCCTGACTCCATATAAGAAGAAACAGAGCAGTTTACATACATTGGGGAATTGTAAGGTCAGGGAACCAGTCTAGCTGGCTCGTACCCGTTCATAGGTTTGTAATCGATTGCAAACAAGTGCAATGGTCAATTGGGGCCAGTATTTGAAAAAAAGCCAGTTGTTTCCAACGCTGATCGGCCGATCAGCGTTGGAAATTGATACAAAAATACCACTTTTCTTGAAAATGACAGTATACCAGGTGCCATAATTTTACAGGATGCTTTAGACTGTCATTTACCAACATCCTGTTAAGGTATTTCGCAAAAACTTGGTAGTTTTATTTTTCGATGTTTACAAATGTTGTATATTCCCTTTAAATAAGACTGGCTGACACTGTATTTACATGTAGATGATGTACATGTAGCCTGGCTGTTTATGCATGACACACAAGCTCAAGGGCTGAAGAGGATTTGTGAATGACAGCATATGCTCTAGACAGTGAGTTGGCAGCTCGGCACAGATTGGGGTCAAACAGGTCATGTCGGCAGGATGAATTTTTTGCATACAGACCAGCAAATATGTTCAGTAGACATGTCAAGTTGACAGAGCCACCTCCCTATACACAATGACATAGTGGTAGGGTGAACATATGGTTAAGCTCACGTTTGAACAAAATTAATACCCTGCCAGATCTTCCCAAATACACCTAGAGGTTTTTCAATTTTGGAGGACTTGCTGAACGGAAGATTTTTTTGGAAAGGAAACCTACTAAAAATATTCACAACAAAATGGGGTGCTGCGTAGCACTAGTGAAGAGGTAAATGAAAATATAAATTTAAAGGGAAGATACAACATTTGCAAACATCGCAAAACGGATTGATCAAATAATCACGAAATACCTCACTAGATTGTTAGGGAATGACAGTCTAAAGCATCCTGTAAAACTGTGGCTCCTGGTGTGCTGTCATTTTCAAGAAAAATTGTATTTTTCCAACGCTGGTCGGCCGACTAGCGTTGGAGAAAACTGGCTTTTTTTTCAAAAACTGCCCCTAATTTTTCATAATTAGTTATTCCGCGTTTTCTTTGCAATTGATTTACACACCTGTGAAGGGGTACAAGCCTGCTAGACTGATTCTCTGACATTACAATTTCCCAAAGTCATGATTGCTCCGTTTCATCTGAAGTTGGGTCAGGGAACCAGACTACAAGAACATGATTGGTTTTCATGGTTTTTTCCAGCATCTACAAGCCCAAAACGTGGAACAAGTCATTTCGACAATATTTGCTATAACATACTAATGCTCCAAATCCATTTATTTCTGAAAATTGCACCAAAAGCAAATGTTGTACATTCCCTTTAAGTGTAAGTGCTCACCAGAATTTGTAGCCAAATTTTTGGACGACTTGTCCTTCTTGCAACCTTACACCCTGAAGAATGACAAGTTCTGGTGAGCACTATACAATGTACATTTATATTTTCATTTACCTAATTATTTACAAGCTACTTTTACAACACATGCAGATTTGTGTAGCGCATAGTTTCATTATGAAGGAAATAGCTTTAGGTTTCAGGTCAGTTCACACACAGTGTTAATTAAGATTCTGGTCAAGGCTAGTCCCATAAAGGTAACTTAATCCATTTCCATTCATGTAATTGTACATGAATTCAATGTGTGGTTTCTTATTGTTACCCGAGTGTAAAGTGCAGTGGTCTAAAGCAGTGATAAATCGTTTGCAGTACGCAGGCATATATTAGCACAAAAGAAATAGTGCAGTGTACTGCATTTCGAATGTATTTCTTTTTCTGATTTATGTTAAATTTGAGATACATTATCTATACTGTTACCTTGCAAGTAATTAAAATTACCCTCAATCTTTGGCATTTTTGCAAAAAGTTTACCTAAATCTCCAAATGCTACCACTGTGCGGGATCCACAGTTTCATGGGCGCACTGTTTCAAGGGTCTTCAAGCGGTCATTGGGCTGTACTTTTTTGAATCTTGTAAAATCTTTTAAAATGTCCTATTGGATTTTTGAGGATCTGTGTGGCTTAGTAATTAGTATGAAATCTATAGTGTAATTCGCCAAACAAAATTAAAAACCATTTTAGCAGTGGTGCCATGCCACCGCGCATGCCGCACGTGTTCTTAAAGACAAGGCACGCACGCGTTTTGGTAGCCAAATCTGGTCCAAGGAGCCCAGAGTGCGTGCATACTACCATGTACCCGAGCGCGACTTGTGCGCGCCTGGTGCCACTGCAAAAAATAACTGTCGCTGAACATCTTTACAAGTCACACCAATTTGATATTTGGTTGCACATAGACAGACCATAGAGCAAGGAACAGAGACCAATTCTTACAGAAATCAGGCCACTATTCCACCCCACAGCAATTCCCTCCTATTGCCTATTGTATTGCACAATCCCAGCAGCTCATTACAATGCCTTCGGGGTGTAGCACAGCAAACACCCAGGCCTGACCCCAATCACTTTATAGCAGCACTCATTCTGGGCTCAGATTTCAGATGGGTAGTCATTTTGGCACCAGTTTATAGTTTCTGTCTGCCCCTTGTGTTGACATATCATGGCCCCTCAAACAAGTTATTCAGTGCCTTACTTTTCAGGGATTTTAGGGCTGGGAAAGGGGGGGGGGGCATGCATTTAAACAAAATGGGGGGGGGGGTCTGTCTTTTGATTTATATTGTGAGATGTCTTGGTTCGTTATTTGTACATGTACACATCTGTTTAAATATAACATATTTGGCTGAGTGACAACAGTTTCTGTTAAACAGAAAACATTTTAATGGTGCCAAAATGGTTCTTGGTGACTTTTGAGTTGCCATGGTGTCTGGATTGTGGTTGAGTAATTGACTTTCACAACCGAAGTTCAAAGAAAACAGGAAAGTGTAACATGACTTTCCCGGCCGGCCGTCCATGTTAAAAATATGCAGTCTAGAATAATGGTATATCACAGGTCTCTGTTTCAGACAGAAACCTGGAATGACCTTAAGCTGTACCCCATTTTGATTAAATCAACATGCACCAATGGGAAATATGTGTTAAGAAAAGCTGTTGATGAAGCCAAAAAGAAGGTCCCCGCATTCCTGTCAAGAATTCACCGTCCCCTGTAGATAGATGTGGACTAACCACAGTTAGGGAATAAATATAGATTTGGTAGTATGGTGTTATCAGTGGGTATATCTTAACAGCGCAGTGTTTATGTGCACAGAGGGTCATAGCGTTGCACAATACAGACTTGGTGGAGTCGAGGCATTTACAAGAATCCAACAAATGTCATAAATTGATGCCAGTGAATTTATCCCGAGTCCTTGGGTGTTTTGTTACCCGGAGTGTGAAATCTTGCCATTAGACTCCAGCAAGAAAATCCACAAATACACGCAGCCAGCTTTGCTCATCTTTCTAGCTGTGACTTCAACATGTAGTTTTCAAACATTTGTCATTTGATGATTTTTATCTGTTAGTCCTTGAATGTTTCATTTAAAAAGCTTTTATGAGCTGCTAGTGGAGTACCAGCCACGAAGTGTGACAATAATAGAAATCCATACAATGCTCTGAACATGTAATTACTTTCACAGATGATTTCAAAGACTTTTTCATTTCATCTTCAGAATTTACAGAAACAGTCTCTCAGTTTTTTGGAATGCATGGCTGGCATGCCTTAATCATTTTATCAAATAAAGTTTTCAAAGTTCTGCCTGACCACCCGGCTTCTAAGCAGATTTTGGACAATCTAAGATTCATTCCAACATTATTCTTATTCTCAGTCCTTGATGTTTACGCTTCAGTTGGAAGACATTTTCTAGTTTTTGATTCCAGTGTCAGGGGCCACATTTGGTTTCAATGCAGAATGAACGCCAAGCTTCCAAATCTTGCCTGAAAAATCTTTGAAATTCCCTCTAGAAATGTACGTCATGAGTTACTACTGCAACTGTCTTGTAAAGTTTACTACATTTGTCTCTCACAGATCTTTTGATTAAAGGGAATATACAACATATTTGCAAACATCGAAAAACAAAACTACAATTTTTTTTACAAAATACCTTACTAGGATGTTGGTAAATGACAGTCTAAAGCATCTTGTAAAATTATGGCAACAGGTGTGAAGTCGTTTTGAAGAAAAGTGATATTTTGCATAAATTTCCAATGGTGGTCGGCCGACCACCGTTGGAAAAACCTAACTATTATTAAACTACTGCTCCAAATTTACCCTTTTTTTCAGTCCAAATTTTGTTTGCTATTGGTTACATACATGAACGGGTGCAGGCCAGTTAGAGTGGTTCCATTACCTTACAATTTTCCGGCATCTATAAATTGATCCATTTCATCTTTAGTGGAGTCAGGGAACCAGACTACTTGAACATTTTTGGTTTTCTTGGTTTTTCCAGCATTTTTCGAACACGAAACCTCAAACACGTCAGTGTAACAATATTTGATCTGTTATACTAACCCCTCAAAATAGTTCGTTTCTGAAAATTACAGCAAAAGCTATTGATGTACATTCCCTTTAATCAAAATTTGTTGGTGTCTCCGCTGTATATTCTAGTTCTTCCGCCAGTGTTGGTGCCACGTCACAGCGAATCAGTCCCCTCTCACAGCCTGCTACCCTACCGCAGCCTGCCTGATCCTCCCTATCCACACAACGCCACATACCCACAGAGCTTTCAGCAGCAAGGCAACCAGGGACTGTCACCTCATCACCCTGGCTCCCCTGGTGGACCTCAGCTCTCCCCGGCTAGCTCTAGCCCCAGCAGTCCATATGGGGTTCCTGGTAAGGCATTCCTGTCAAAACGTGGCATTCTGGAATGGATAACCTCTCAAATTAAAAAAAAAATCTGAAAATGAAAGAAAGGAAGTAAAGCCTTACTTGGGAATACATTAAGAAAATATTCCATAGCTATTGCTATGTGGGGTTAGTATGGGGGGGGGGGGAGAATTTGGGGTCGGAAGGTGTGGGAAGTGAGGGAGGGGGTTAGGGGTCAAGTCTTAGTTTTTTACAAATTTAAAGAGGTTGTGGAATGCTCGAAGACATTTCCGTCATTTTTCGGGTATATGTAGCCTAAGGTGTGATGAAATAAAAACGACTATTGTTTCTGTCATGAAATGAGTACAAAAGGTACTTTTGAGAGCTATTTTTCAGGTCCTGTTTCGACCCGAACGTGCAATTTGTGTAAAAGTCGTCGTTGCGGGCAGCAAACAAAACACACTAAATCGTGACGTAATAAACAGGACTCATATATATGCTACTCTGCATCGGGTGTCCTGTTTATTACGTCACGATTTACCGTGTTTTGTTTGCTGCCCGCAACGACGACTTTTACACAAATTGCACGTTCGGGTCGAACAGGACCTGGAAAACAGCTCTCAAAAGTACCTTTTGTACTCATTTCATGACAGAAACAATAGTCGTTTTTATTTCATCACACCTTAGGCTACATATACCCAAAAAATGACGGAAATGTCTTCGAGCATTCCACAACCTCTTTAACCATTGTGCGAAATAGCGTCCTCAAGCTGTATACTCTCCTGTGTCTAATGAGATCTAAAGAATACTTATGGGGCTGATGAGCAGGGGTTATATTGTAACACCTTGGGTGCCAGTATCACTGCATAATTATATGCACTTTAGCATAAATAAATATTCATTAACCCTAACTGCCCCAAACCCTTCAAAATCCAGCGGCATGTTTTGTTTGATTCTGTTGGAGTAAGTACTGCACTAGTAAGCTTTTGGGTCAGGCATGCCACCATAATCAGAGTCCAACAGTTTGGGTGCTGAGCTACCATGTGGTGTTGGATTTTGTAAGAGTGAGGAAGGTTCCTAGTAAATCACTCAAGGGGTGAAGGTTGATATTGATGGAATATTCATATGATTACCTTTCAGCTGACACCCCACCACCAGCTTACATGTCTTCTGATGATGGCAACACTAATGATGGAACACCTATGGACACATCATCTGCACAGCCAACTAAAACTAACATTAACTTGCAAGGTAAATATTACAGTCAAGCCTTGATACCAATACTCCTTGTTACCTGTGCTAGTGACCTTCAACATTATAACCAACATCTTGGAGCTGCTAAGCACAGATAGTCAGTCTCCTTACGACGAACAGAGCATACTTCTCAGAACCACACAGCTCACAAAGAGATATCATTCACATGATGTTACCGCAAACCTCACATTCATTGATCATGTCCACCATGCAAACCCTTAAAGGGAAGATACAACATTTGCAAACATAAAAAAAAGGAAATGATCAAGTTATCACGAAATACCATACTGGATTGCTAGGGAATGACAGTCTAAAGCATCCTGTAAATCGTGGCTCCTGGTGTGCTGACATTTTCAAGAAAAATTGTATTTTTCCAACGCTGGTCGGCCGACCAGCGTTGGAGAAAACTGGCTTTTTTTCAAAAACTGCTCCTAAATTTTCATATTTAGTTATTTCGCATTTTCTTTGCAATTGATTTCACACCTGTGAAAAGGGTACAAGCCTGCTTGACTGATTATCTGACCTTACAATTCCCCAAAGTCTATAAATTGCTTTGTTTCAATCTTAAGTGGGGTCAGGGAACCAGACTACTGGAACATGATTGGTTTTCTTGGTTTTTCCAGCATCTATAAGCCCAAAACGTGAAACAAGTCAGTTTAACAATATTTTCTATCAGATACCGGTACTAATCCTCCAAATCCATTTATATCCGAACATTTCAGTAAAAGCAAATGTTGTACATTCCCTTTAAGTCTCACAGATAGTTTGCTAAGCAAAAAAGTACTTTTCTATAACAAAAAAATATGTTATCAGCCAATTTTGCATGCAATGTATATTGCCGATGAATGGCTATTAGCAGACTCGTGCCAACAACAGAAAATAACTAAGCAAACTTTTCTGCTCTGCAACTCCATAGATCTGGGTTAGGTCTTTGATGTACATTAAACATGAATACTCTTACATTGGTCTGCTCTTTCCAGATGTCCAACCTGTGACGTACACTGAGCCCCAATGCTGGTGCTCCGTGGCCTACTATGAGCTCAATAACCGTGTAGGAGAGCCCTTCCATGCATCCAGTACCAGCGTGATTGTGGATGGGTTCACCGACCCCTCCAACAAGACAGATCGATTCTGCTTGGGATTGCTTTCCAATGTCAACAGAAATTCCACCATTGAGAACACAAGGAGACACATCAGTAAAGGTATGATTTGGGCTGTTAGCAGAGTTGTAACTGAGTCCATTACAAGTCAAATCACTAGTCGATCACGAGTCAAAACATTGGTAACGGAGCTGCAAAGTGACAAAACAGTAAGTGTATCACACAGTAAACTCCAGCTAAACCGACATAGTACAACTCGACAAATTGCTCAAGTCGGCCATCTGACTAAAGTCCCGATTGTCCGTAATGCATTTCCATTGAATTTTTTATTTCTAAGTCGGCTTTTATAAGTCGCCATTTCGCTCAAGTCGTCGTGTTACTCTCGGTCCCCTTTCCATAAAAAGCATTACAAAATCCTTTGTGTAAGTCAGCATTCAACAAATCACGCATTGGCATCGACTACTGGGGTTGGCAAAGTGTCGAGTGAAAAGTGGTTTGCATATATATGCATCGTGAGCATATCAATACCAGTACCCCCTCTAGTCTGTACGCATGCGCTCTGTCCATTTTGGGGGTTGTCTTATTCAATGACTAGTGCTGCAGTCAATGCGTGCGTGGTATATACCGGACCACGCACGCATTTAATTCGTTACTGTGCACGTACATTTGTATCGTGGTCTCCACTATCTATACCCCAAACTTGATGATACACTCCAATGATTAATTTGCTGGATTCAACTCGAGCATTAAGGAGATAAATCAGGGTAAATCGAAGCCAATTTGTGCAATGAATCATGTGTGCAAAAGACCATTCATGTAAGTCAGCAAAATGACAACTTACAGCAGATTTCGGCATTCGCGTAAGTCGTCACAAATTCTTGGGTCCCGAGAGTGCTGACTTAGCCGGAGTTTACTGTAGTTTGTGACTTGACTTGAGACTGAATGGCTCCAAGGACTGCTTGACTTCTGATTGAATTGTGCAGACTTGACTACATTGATCAGATCCTCTATAATCCACAATGAGCTTTGGAGGATCTTGTAGGCTTGATGAAGGTAGTGACCAGCCACTAAGATATTACCTTAAGTGCGGAGAATGTACAGTAAACTCCGGCTAAACCGGCACTCTCGGGACCCGAGAATTTGTGACGACTTACACGAATGCCGAAATCTGCTGTAAGTCGTCATTTTGCCGACTTACATGAATGGTCTTTTGCACACATGATTCATTGCACTAATTGGCTTCAATTTACCCTAGATTATCTCCTTAATGCTTGAGTTGAATCCAGCAATTTAATCCTCGAATTGTATCATCACGTTTGGAGTATTGATAGTAGAGACCATGATACATATGTACGTGCACGGTAACGAATTAAATGCGTGCATGGTCCGGTATATACCACGCACGCATTGACTGCAGCAGTAGTCATTCAATAAGACGACCCCCAAAATGGACAGAGCGCATGCATACAGCCTAGAGGGGGTACTGGTATTGATATGCTCACGATGCATATGCGATGTATGCAGTGGGACACCCTTTTTCGAAACCGATACATGCAGCAATCACGTGCCGTGCGAAACCACTTTTCACTCGACACTTTGCCAACCGCAGTACAGGAAGTCGATGCCAATGCGTGATTTGTTGAATGCTGACTTACACAAAGGATTTTGTAATGCTTTATATGGAAAGGGGACCGAGAGTAACACGACGACTTGAGCAAAATGGTGACTTATAAATGCCGACTTAAGAAATAAAAAATTGAATGGAAATGCATCACGGACAATCGGGACTTTAGTCAGACGGCCGACTTGAGCGATTTGACGAGTTGTACGATGTCGGTTTAGCCGGAGTTTACTGTAGTTTGGTGTCCCACACAGTGGAAGATTTTGAAGGAAGATTTTAGAGGATTCCAGAGATATCCTAGCAAAAATGTAAACAACCAGACAGTGGTTCAGAGTATTGGTATCTGTAATCAGAGAGTGAAAAAAGCCTAAAGTCTATTATTTGACCTGGGGAAAGTGTTTATTTTAAGCTTTGTTGTCCTTCATTTGACATGCAGGTGTTCATCTGTACTATGTTGGGGGTGAGGTCTACGCTGAATGTCTGAGTGACAGCAGCATCTTTGTCCAGAGCCGCAACTGCAACTATCGTCATGGCTTCCACCCAACCACCGTCTGTAAGATCCCTCCTGGCTGCAGTCTCAAGATCTTCAACAACCAGGAGTTTGCTGCTCTCCTCTCCCAGTCCGTCAACCACGGCTTCGAAGCCGTCTACGAGCTGACCAAGATGTGCACCATCCGCATGAGCTTTGTCAAGGGCTGGGGCGCCGAGTACCACCGCCAGGACGTCACCAGTACGCCCTGCTGGATTGAGATCCATCTGAACGGACCGCTGCAATGGCTAGATAAGGTCCTGACACAGATGGGCTCTCCCCATAACGCCATCTCCTCAGTCTCGTGATCAGCTCCACGGTAGGCTACACAGGGTCTCCTGTCTGTTATCTTGATTCTCAATCATGCCAAGGAGGAATTCTTTGTTTCGTTCAGGCTGTACTTCAGGGAGTAGATGATTCTTACCGATTAGATCAGAGCCATGAATGTGTGCTTGACTCGCATACAAAGTTAGATTTGTCAGTTTTGAAACCAAGTCGTGACATAATTTTTACAGATGAAACTGAAGTTACCGTTCAAGCAGTTTGCTGATGCCCAAACCAAAATCAAGCATGGAAGCCACATATTATGTGAGTCAAACAGTGAAAAAAGAAGAAAAAAAAGAACAAAGAAAAAAATGTAATATTAGTAGGAATAAGGTTACACAAAAATGACTTTCCACTCAACATTTCCAGCACTAGATGGATTGCTTGTGAAGAGGTATTAAGCTTTGCACCCCACAATTAAGTTTTGTCACTAAAGATGTACACAACTTACATGACTTACAGGGAGACACTCGGTTCTGTTGATGCGTTGCAATTGGCCGACATAGTTACAGTACAAACCAAAGCATCTACCGTGGGAAAAAGACTAGTGAGCCTGGAGAGTTCATAATTCATGGGATAATTCAATTCCTGGAGAATGTTGTTAGGAACAAGCATTAATTGACAAAGAAACAAAACCTTGAAAGGTTACCTTAAAAAAAAAACCTGTTGCTGTTCAAGTTGCAGTGCGTCTGCCAAATTGTCCAAAATTGTTGAACTGCCCTTTGCATTGTGCTATTGAAATAACTGCAACGATTGCATGACCCACTCCATTTGGCTCTGGATTTTCTACACTTGATTAAAAAAAAACGCTCTGCCATTTGTGAGAGATTTGATAAATGTAATTGTATATTTGATGTCAGTAATACCATTGATTCAGTATCAAAACAAAACTCAGATTGACGTAAAAAATATTAACTGTTGTTTGTTTTTTAAACTCTGTACAAAAGGAAAAGTGTTGTTATATGGACTTGTAATGTAGCTCAAATTTGGCACGGTTATACAAGAATTGTTCTTTTCCACCGCTGATGTGAATGTGCCATCAACCATTGGCATTACAGCTGTGCAGTATACATAAGCCTTGCATGTGTTTTGAAAGTAAACATTTGTTTTTTGAAATAGAGCTTATTCCAAATGTATCTAAATGTCTGAAAGAAGTATTGGACAAATTTCTCGGGTTTTTTTTCAGGGGGGGGGGCGTTTGAAATTGGACATCCTACATGCAAGGGAATGCATGTCTTGTTTATAATATTGTAATAAAGTAATTGAAGCTGATTTATCCTTGCAAGAAATATGTGACCTGTTCTGTCAAAATCAGACTTTTCTGGGCACAAAGTCAAAAATTAGATTTTTGCATATTGTTAAAATAAGTACATTTTCCTTTTAAAAGGTGGTTTTATTTTTGAAACCGGTCACTCCTGGGCAAAGTTATGCTATTTTTGAAGTTCATTGTGTCGAAAAGTAGAAAACGAAGAAAATGGCCACAAACGTCACGAAACAGACATTTCTTTACCTGATATACCTTAACAAATTATCAAAAATACTATAATTAGAGATCAAATTACGGTTTCAAACTTTTATAGTATATTTTAGACATGTTCAGGATTACACATATGCACAAATTAGAATATTTAAAAAAAATCACCCCAGCATTTTTTGGCTCTATCTCAATTTCAACCTCTGCCCAGAAGCGTCTGCTTTTGACAGAACAGGTCACATATGTGACTGCCTTCATACTAAAAACCAATGTTGATTAACAGTCCAAGGAGACGCAGCGAATTCTCCAACAAACGGAAGAGTATTCGCATGTCAAACTGTTTGTGCATTATGGACTAATTTATAAGTAACTCTCAAAGCACAATCATGTCCTTGAACAAACAAAAATACAGTAATTGGAGGGTAGACATTTAAAGGTTAACTTGTGAGAAATGACTTAATTTATTTTTTAGATAATTGTAAATTGTGATAGACAAACGGAAATTGTGTGTTTTTGACATCGGTGTTGTAAATCTGGTACACAAATTGTCCTGTCCTATGTGCTGTTGATAGTTTTTTTTTTTCAGGTGATTACTACATGACATCTTGATGTCAAGTATTCAACTAAAGTTGCCAAAGTTGGGAATGTTTCCTTATTTTTGTGTTTCACAAAATCCTCTTTTTACCCCTATGTTTACTTTGTGAATAATTTCTAAAAGAATTGTGTTTGATTGATTTTCCTTAAATTTTTTTTAAATTTCTGAAGTATGCCAAAAGAAGGGAAATGAGGATTTTACAAATACTTGCGTAATTTTTGTCAAGCATTTCACTTGTCTCATTTATAAATCATAAACCCATTGCATAATTTTTGTAAGAATAATGTTTATTAAGAAGAGCAACTACCAAATGTACCATGTTAATATCCCCTTGTACAAATTTTTAAGCATATTTATGATGTTGATTTTTTAACTGTTGTGATTTCCCCAAGTTTTACTTGACAAAAATGGGACAACTGCATTTTGCATGCAGAAATAAAAGAAATATTGGGGGGCGGGGACAAAACATGTTTAATAGAATCTTATCCCAAAAAGTCTACTGCACAGTATTTTTTTGTCAACTGTTCTAACGACTTAGCCAACAGTGTTGTCCGACTGTTAAGTGTGACCAGTTAGTTGTTGTTTTTGTTTTTCTACTGCTTGTATAATATGTAGCTTAGCCCCGTCCCGAGAGTGGAGCAGAAATAAAATAAGTAGTTTACCAGAAATGTTGTGTTCTGATCTTACTTGTGTGTTCTGTAAGATTTTGTACCTTCAAAGATTACAAGTGATTTGTGAGGAGCAGAGATACTTAAAACAAAAGTTTAGATATTTCCTTGAAGGAAAACAGGAAAGTAATTGCAAGGTCTTGGATATGGTTGGTTGACCCTAAGAGCAAGGAACAGCCCAATGGTGCCATTTATAAGATGGATTTGGACATGAAATTCTCTACTGTGCTTGTCCAGTGAAATGTATGCACTGTGAGGTGAGTTTGCTGCCCTCTGGTGATGAAACCACCTTTTCCAATTTTCATGCTAAAATGTACAGCGCCCTCTGTTGATTGATGCGCCCAGTTTTACAGAAATTTCCTCCAGGCACCAGAGGTTGTCCTTCCAAATATGTTCAACTCTTATGTTGTCAGAAGCTTGTATCTTCTTTCAAAACATCATACTTGTGATATTAATTTTCAGATCGATAAAAATGTGGGAAAAGTGCGCATTTTATCCCATAGGCTTCTAGCCTGTCTTTAATTTTTCTTTTTTTCCCTGACCGCGCTGTTTGTAATATTAACAGACATACTGTACATACCTACGTTTAATACATCTGTAGTTAAATTGTTGCAGAGAAGATTTTTTTTTTAAAGCTAAAAATTACAGGATAAATGAGGAAATTATATGGTAGGAAAAAACAGTGTTTAGGAAATTGTGGGAAAATCGAAAGGATTTCGATTCGCTTATCATGTTGAGGGCGCTCGTCAAATAGACCACAAAGTGAGCGTTTATCGTCTGCCAAATCAGCTAGACCCGTAAGGGACCTGTCTGCGTGCGTAACTGCATGCGTTTAAATTCTGTGGAACAGGTTACTAGACCATGTTCAGCGGCTGATAAAAATTGATGTTTTGGCTTTCCGCCTGTCGTAGCAACCTGTTGATAGAAAATTGTATCATTTTTGAGATTTTTGGAAGGGACACCGTTCTGACGATCACAAGGACTGAAGAGGTGCTTTTGGAGTTAATTTGTTGGTAAGTATCCACTTGTTTTTAATTTTTTTTGGGGGGGGGGAATCGGGGGAATTTATATTTCGAGATTTATTATTTCGAGATTTATCTGAATCATGTCTGTGTGCCAGTCACTGAGTGATGTGACAGTGACATTCGTCAGCATCGCGGTTATCAATTATCCTCAGTGCAAATAGTGAGACAACAAAACCTTAATGGGTTTATTCAGTTGTAGGGCCTATTTAGTAATCATGTTTTTTCTCATTTAATTCTTAACGTGGAATTCACTTTGGTATTGACATTTTGTTGTACTGTCATGACTGTTAATGGGATGTATCATTTCCTTAATTAGGCTAATTAGTAATTGCAAAAAGAATATGAAATTGAAAATGAAAATAAAATTAAAAATCTAACTTTAACTTTTAAGTTGAAAGTGAAAAGCCCTACTGTCCCGGTCCATACACATGATTCAGTGAGTAAGCCTACATTCCCTACAAGAGGGCCAAATTTTGGATGTCGTGATTATGAAATATGAATGATGGTTTTTGTTGTAACTTTCTCTTGTAAAGTTTTCTAAAATGTCCTCCCACAACAAAAACCTTACTGCTCTAAAAGTAAAATTGATCTTTCCAACCTTGGAAATAATATTCTTTCAATATGTTTTCAGTTTGAGGGAAAGTTTATTTTGGTAAAACTTTAACTTTTAATTAGTGAATTGGTGTCTAACTCTACCTCCATGGACCATAGGTTAATTTACTGCATTACAATCCAAATATGCTGTTCGTAAACCTCCTGCTGTTTGAATAGTCGCAGACAGTAATAAAAATCAATACTCTTCCACCACATGTATCATGCCTTTTACACAGGCTAGTCACCAACAGTCAGATCATATTTCAAGTCCGAAAATTTGGGACTCTCAATACTGTGTATGAGAGTCCCAAAACTTAAGTTAAGGTATTGAAAATATGCGAAAATATGCAAAAACAAGAAAATAGACTGGCACCTAAAACAACCAGTCCAACACAGCTTCAGTACTGCATCAATCAACCATGCCAAAAGAATTTAAGAAACATGTGGCATGAAGCGGGAACTAGTCTCAATTTACTACACATTTCTCCATAGTCAAGCCACCAGACTATTGACACTGAATGAAGAGTTCAGTCTTTTCAAATAGTTGAACCATTGTTGGACAGTCTAGTAGTATTTAGCCCCATTTTGAAATCACTTGACTTCCCTCTCATGTTCAAAATATTGCTGAAAAGTCTCCTTTAAAAATTGAATTGAGTCTGCAAACTTGGTAGGTGAAATACTGAGGACATTTTCTTTGCCCCAGTGGAATTTTTGGAGAAATTTGCTGGCTAAACTGTGAGTAAAGTGGACCTGATTTAGTTTTGCACGTTTCAGAGCACTCCAGAGCCCTGTCTGATTTCAAGCAAGCACTGTGACCTGTCAAATTCAGTCAACAGACAAAAGCAGGCAAGAAGAAGGCACAGCTGGCTTATTAATCACCTGCATACAAAGCATAGCTGTATCAAGTTACATAAACAGTCACAGGCAGTCAATCCTGCTTTATGTAAGCTGGGAGCTCTTAACTGTTGAAAACAGTCACTTGATTGAGTTTGACTAAAACTTAAAGGACAACTTTGCACAGAATGCATGTTTGCACAGGAGGGTTGAAAGGAAAATAAATAAATGATTCTTGATGTGATTCCTGAAGAGTGAAGAAAAAACAGCAACATGTTGAAATATTCAACTGTATCGTTTGATGCCTGCTATGGGAAATAAACCAAATGAACAAAAATGAAACTTTTATGAG